GCTGATGCACCCATACTGAGAGTGACGGGGCCAGGTGAAACGTCACGTTCCACACCTTGAAGACCTTCCAAGTAAGTTTTTTGTTAATCTGTCATTTTTGTGTGATAAGGGTTTCTGCGGGGGGCATATAAAAATTTTCGGTGATTAAAAGGACAACTAAGCACAAATCAACTTTTTGAGGGGCTTATAACTGCCGATAAATATTGTTTCTTATTGCGCTCTCTACATTGTCTGGTAATAATTTTCTTGGACATTTTAGTGCCAAAATAGATAAACTCTCACTTTGAAGCCTAAATACCGCTGTGTAGCGCCCTCTCTAAATTTATTCTTTGGCTACACTACATTTGAATTTTCGGTGCCGCGTCCTCCCCATTTGCTCTGCCAGCATGTTGTATCGGTCCGCGCTCTGTGATCGGCGGTATAAAAGCCAGCCAGAGTCTCGCAACGCCCCCTGTGCGAGTTAGAGTTGGAATACGGGCGAGCCGCTTTTAACATCGATTTCAGGTTAGCAATTTATTAGCATAGTATTTTAGAAGTTTTTTAGCGCAGCGTTTCTCGTGTGTAGTTAACTGTAGTCAGGTAGTTTCTGTAGCCGTTTTGTGGGACGTTGGAAGCACAACATGCCGGTCACGACGCGGCCAGGGAGCGGGAGATGAGGAGGGAAGACCCGAGACGGGGATTTGATCTTACAGGCCCCGCTGTGAGAGCCACTGCACTCACATCCCCGACCTCTCCGTCTAAATAATGACAACCGAGCAGAGACCGCTCACCCACAACTCCCCCTCCCCGCGTCTCCCAACGCCTCTCGCCACGCCTCCTTTCTTCCTGGAGTTTTTTTTACTTTTTGGGATAGTGGGGTGGAGTAAGATCTGGATAGGGGTGTTTAGTCGCTTCTTTTTTAAGTGAAATTTGTCCAAAAATAAGCCTTAAATATATTTACATTTTTGCATTAAAGTAGATTCAAAACTGGCATTTAACTGGAAAATGTATAAGGGGAAATTATGACATGCGCGACGCCTGTATTAACCTTTAACACGCAAAACTCACCCCCCCCCCCCCCCCCCCCCCACCCCCCCCCACACCCCCTCTTGCCATTATTAGCCTTCTTATGCTTGTGTGATGTCATCCATTCTAATGCATTGTAGTGACTTTCCTTTTTTTCATCCTTGTCATGGTCATATTTCTATTACTTTAAAGGTGTGAAAATCGGGTCGCGATGATGTCACTATCTCATCCAATAGTTGGAGACGGCACAAAAACTTGTACCCACCTCGCCAATGGTCTGGCTCGGGTGTAATGATGGGCTCTTTGATTTGAAGTCCTCCTCAAGGGTCAACCTGAAAGGGGGCGTCAGCAAATTGGATCCTAATGCCGAGCGTCGGCAGGCTCTCGACCCGAGGAACTATTCAAGCTCTGCAAGGTAACTTATTCTTAGAGTTTTTGGGTTGTCTTCCAGTTTTGATTGCATTATGCAGGAGGGAGGATGAGCGGGGGCTATGGGGAGAGGAAGAGGTTGGCGAGTCGGGGACGGGATGCTTAAGCGGATGAATTGGGTGGAATCGTTGTTCTGTTCCCACTGATGCTGTTGTTAAAACAGTTTCCGGTACGGCCATAGACGCTGATGTGAGAAAGTCCATTCAATAGTCGAATTTCGGAGCTAAGACACCAGGTGAAGCGCAAAAGTTTGTAATTGTTTTAAGTTTTTGTACTTGCACTTTTGCGGAAGTGCGTTTAAAGTTTGCACTAGATTTTGCCCTGTTAAAAACTGTACCCTCTTACCTCAACATCCTCTGGGATTTGTTATTTATCTGAATTAGAAAATAACGTTTGGCTTTTGATTAGATGCACATTAGTCTGTGTTAATTGCCATACACATGTTTGCATATATATATATATATACCTCTTTATTTATATATATAATTACCTGTTTCTATATTAACATATATTTCAAATACATTGTAACATTTTAAACTATAAAGGCGGGGGGGGGGGGAATTTTTTTGGTCCACTCTAGTTTTACTGGCTGTGATTTTTGAAGTCTCTCGTTCAAATGGAATGGGGCAGCGCCGGCTGGCGCATGCCAGATGCGTTTTTCCACAATTTTTCTTGTGGGCGGGACACTCGCGGCCAATTTGGATTGTTCCAGGTAGAGCACATTTTTTTTGGACATTATTTAGAACGCGGAGATAGGCGTGACTCTGTCGTTAATCTATACAGTCTATGGAAAAAAAACACATCTGCGCTGGAGACTTCAAAAATTCACAGCAAGGTAAAACTAGGTGGACCAAAAAATTCACCCCCTCAGCATTGACACAAATTGGAACGGCGCTTTGGCCAAGAGCCAAACTTTTGTTCAGCCAGTAAAGCGTTTTTGAGGAGGTCTGCCAATGGGAATATGTTAGTATTGGCTCATTTTCTCTCCACTCTCTCTACTCAGCTGTTTTTGTTAGATGCATTAGTTTAGCAGTTGTTGCCATCCTTGTTGTTTTACACCGCCTACTCTTATTTAGGTATAAATAGACTTGGCATTTTTTGTTTCCTTCTTTTGTTGACTAGTTTTGTTGAGTTTGTTATTTTGGCACAACTGGGCGACGCCACTCCCACCATTGTTATTCCTTTTTTTTCGTTTAGTTTTATAAAAAGGAAATTGCCAAAACCCACTGTGAGTGACTCCGGCCGGCTGAGTGTATACTGAGACGCTGCGCAAACATTTCCAGGCTATTAGCAGCAACGCAACTGACCAGGGCTCCTAATGCAAATTTTCCAGCGTTCATACAAGGTTGAAAAAACTATGTAGTTCTAGCGCTCACCACTGCCGGCCAGTAGTGGTAAGAAAGAAACAACCCCCCTCCTGGCCAGTATACCCACTTCTGTGCCAGCCTCGCCGAGCGCCAACATCATTTCTGTAATATTAACAGCAGTTGATGAAAATGGAATGAAGCTCGGACAAACTTTGCAGAGGTCTCGTTTGGATGACCGAAGGAGTAGAATTATCCTCTCTGCCGAGCTCGAAGCCCACAAGCTAGTTTGTGTCCCGCCGCCATTGTTGTTTGTTTTCCGCTACTGTGCATGTTCCAAAATTTACGTGCGGGGAGCTGCAGCTGCGGGGAGGATGGGGGTCAGCTCATGCAGGAAATTCACACCTTTTTCCCCTCACGCGGGTGTGAAAGAGAACCCGCTGAGCCGAGTATCTTGGTTGTCCCACTCTGCAGGTCTGGATCTGAATTCTTACGTTTTTCCCTCCCTGGAACACAGTCTTCGTCCTGAGGGTTAGTAGCAACAGACCATCCAACTATAGTTTTTTATGCCACATTGTCTCTGTGTAGCTGTCCTCTGTTTCAATTATTGTTTCATCTATCCTGGTATAACAAAATTGGGGGTCGGGGGCCTCGTCCAGGGATACTTTGAAACAATTCATTGTCTCCTTGTGGTCTAGTGTATTAGAGAGGGTGTGCCCAATCCATGGTGTTCGTTTTACAGATTTCATTGAGGGACTCCCACTTTTCAGCCATCTTCCAGGTTCAGTAGAACTCAACCTTCGTGGTGTAAGCAACAACAGGGAGATGCCTTCTCATCACGCAAGGGATGGCCGGATGTTTTGCTGGTCACTCCGTATGCTGTAGGAGCTTCCAGCATATTCACATCGAGGACCTGAGGCGGCCTTCGGATCCCCCAAGGTGTGGTGAAAGACGTAGTTGGTGTTCACTCAGCTTCTTGTATTTTACAACATAAGGACAGAGAAATGGTAGTGGTCATTGATGAGCATGGTATTGGTATAAGAGAAGTTGGGAGCCCGTGTCACCAGGCTTATACCGAAGCTCGTTGACCATACGCCTTCTTGTCCAAATGCTGCTTCATTTCGGTCTGGAGAAGCCGAAGACCAGCTGGGGAGCAACGCTAGTTATAAACGCATACCCAAAGTGTAGTGACATACTCTGGGATGTTTTTGGACAGGGTATTTGAGGTTTAATGAAGGTGCTCTTTTAGATAACCTTCAAAGGCCCTGGGGCGCCACGGTGGTCTGAGTGCGATAGCACTCTCGCTATCATGCAAAGAAGGTCCTGGGTGCGTATCGACCGGTCGGACCAGGGCCTTTCTGGAATGGAGTTTGCATGTTCTCCCGTGTCTGCGTAGGTTTCCTCCAGGTACTCCGGTACCCCTACCACTAAAAATATGTACAAATAGGTATGGCATGCGCCTTCTTACTGGCGACCCGCTCCCATCTCTGAGTGGATGCGGAGAGACAAATGCCCAAACTAACAATTGTAAACCGCTTTGAGACTCTGATGTGCAGTGAAAGACGGGTTTATAAATAAAGATTACTTACTTACTCAGACTTCTGGCCAAGACTAGTGGGCTGGGCTGAACCTTCACCACTCCTGCAAGCTTCTCCAGCAGCAAACACCAGCACAAGGGGCACACTTTCACTTTCTTTGTTGACTCAAAGCCAGTGCATCCTCAACCATGGACTTCCCACTAAGCAAGCCGACGTTTGAATCAAGTTAATTTGAACGTCGCATATAGGTCACTGGTGGGGTGCTGAATGAACGTTTTCTCGACGTCGTTTCCGACGTCACCTCAACCTCCAAATGTTTCGTTGTTGGATCGTCAATTCAAGTTTGAATGTGCGCCCCTACGGAACGGTGGGTCTGACGTCCTGATCAAGGCTCATAGGACCACAATATTGACGTTTATATGATCGTTGTTTTCAGTCCGTTTCCCACTAAGCAAGCAGATGTCAAAAAACGTAATTTCAAGTCATCTGGACGTTCATTCAAGGTTGCAACTGTGGTACAGAACCGGTCGGTGTCCGACGTCCTATCAACGTATTATATGGACCAAAATATTTGCCATCTATATGACGTTCGTTTTCCGTTGTTCCCTCCACTAATACTCCACTTATACTCGTGTGTGTGTGTCCATCCATCCATTCATTCATCCTCCATCTACCTACCTACCTATCTATCTATCCTTCACATATGTATCCACGCAGTTGCGCACTAACGTAAGGGTGTTCTCACCGACTCGCTGTCGGAGGCGGACGACAGCCGGGACTTGTTGGTGCTCTGCCTCCTGAAGTGGGAAGAGTCTGAGGTCTGGCTGGTCACGGTGGAGCGGCGTGTGGAGATGAAGCTGCTGCTGCCGGAGTGAAGGTCCCGCGGGTGGACACAGAGCAGGAGTCCCATCAGCGGGATGTACTTGGCCAGAGCGATCCTAGGACACAGGACCAGAGGGTGTAGGACCAGAGGGTGAAGGACCAGAGTGTAGATCGGTCTGATCCGAGGACACAGGACCAGAGGGTGTAGGACCAGAGTCTAGATCGGTCTGATCCGAGGACACAGGACCAGAGGGTGTAGGACCAGAGGGTGAAGGACCAGAGTCTAGATCGGTCTGATCCTAGGACACAGGACCAGAGGGTGTAGGACCATAGGCTGTAGGACCAGAGTCTAGATCGGTCTGATCCTAGGACACAGAACCAGAAGGTGTAGGACCAGAGGGTGTAGGACCAGAGGCTGTAGGACCAGAGAGTGAAGGACCAGAGTCTATCTCAGTCTGATCATAGCGACAGAGGACCAGAGTCCACCATCAGCCAACTCCAGGCTCCACTTTCCAATCAATTCAATGTATTTTTGTATGTCCCTAAAGCACAGTAGTTATCTCAGGACTTTACAAAAACCGTTGATTCGCCAACACAGATCAGAGAATCAAACAGGAAATGCAACGATAAAAACAAATTTTTCCCAGGTCTGGAGTAGACTAAGAATATTGATCCTATATCGGTCCTACAAACAAACAAAGACTACATGTGTGTTTGTGTTGTATCCAGTGATGTCTCGTGACCTGGGACCCCTTAGATCCGGTGTAACGCCGAGATACACTGCCTTGAAGAGATGCACAGCCTCAGCTGTTTATGATGTAATGCAAACCTGCGCATGCGCGTCTCACGGCAGCCGAAGCAAACCAAGATGGCGGACCGTGAATTTCTTTAAAAGTTGAAATACGAACGAATAAAGACACGAATGTCACTTTTAATGCAATTTGAGGCGAGATGTTGATGGTTCCGTTTTGTCACATGTGGGTTTTAAGAGTCAAAGTTTTGTACAAAGTTTAGTTTAAGCAGTCAACTGCGCCTGTGAAACCACAAAGCTAATGTTTTCATAGCAGTCCGCGGCTGCTGACGTAGGCTGATGACGCGTCCTGTGGCAACTCTACACTCTTACACTGGTCTGTCGGGTTGATAATGGAAATAATAAATTTCATTCAATACATGTATCGTACTGTATTTAATATGATTAACAATAGTGTGTTCAAACAAAATATTTAATTAGATTGATTTTTTCCCCCATTTTCCATTATCAACCCGACAGACCAGTGTAAGAGTGTAGAGTGGCCACAGGACGCGTCATCAGCCTACGTCAGCAGCCTACGTCATCAGCCTACGTCAGCAGCCGCGGAGGCTGCTATGAAAGCATTAGCTTTGTGGTTTCACAGGCGCAGTTGACTGCTTAAACTAAACTTTGCACGAAACTTTGACTCTTAAAACCCACATGTGACAAAACGGGACCATCAACATCTCGCCTCAAATTGCATTAAAAGTGACATTCGTGTCTTAATTCGTTCGTTTTGCAACTTTTAGCCATTCACGGTCCGCCATCTTGGTTTGCTTCGGCTGCCGTGAGACGCGCATGCGCAGGTTTGCATTACATCATAAACAGCTGAGGCAGTGCATCTCTTCAAGGCAGTGTATCTCAGCGTTACACCGGCCCTGCTTCTGTCTCCTCCCCTGCCACTGCCTCTGAGCCTCACTCTGGGGGGTCCCACGGTCTGTGTCGTTATCCTCAGATCCTCAGAGAACACATTAATCAGCTGAAAGTGTCCCACATTACCATCCTCTCGGTCCACTTTGCATCAGGGGGATTGAGGCCACAGGACGTGACGAGGCTGTACCTGTACTTGGGGTGTGTGATGGCGTAGATGATGGGATTGTGGATGGCGGAGGCTTTGGCGATGATGGCGGGCACCGAGTTCATGTAGGGCGTCAACATGTCGGCGTACCTGAGGGAGAAACCCTACTGTCATTTACAGAAGGAGGAGCAGTTAGTGACGAAGAGGACGCAGACTGGAATTACTGTATAAACAAATCAATTCAATTCAAGATATTTTTGTTCAGCCCGTGTCCATAATGTCCTGGATCATCTCTATCCTCCGTTCACTAATCCTTACACACAAGGGCCTGAAACCGGTTTTAAAACTCCCAAACAGACGACCCCGTGTGGGCATAGGTTTCCTCCAGGTGCCCCGGTTTCGCCTATTACGAAAAGTAGGTCTGTGTGCCTCTTGTTGGTGACCTGCTCCATCTCTGTGTGGAGTCAGACAAATGGCCAAAGTAAAGTGCACCAATCCAGTGGAACCTTAGAGTGACCTCACAGCAGCGTGTGAAGAGCTGGGACGGATTGGTTTAGGCTCTTGGTCTGTGTGTTACTCTCGATACAACATTTATCTTCCTCCTGCTGAGGCCCAGAACCTCAGTGGTCTCTCTCTCTGGGGTTTGATATTTTTTGTGATGTCTGTGTCTTGTAATAATTCAGAGTCATTAATTGTCTTCTTCTACATTTATTGGTTTGGGCCTCGTCTGTGCAGAAACCATCACATGTCAAAATGGCCGCGGAGGCTGGAAATTGTGTTATAATGTATTTGTGCGTTAGCTGCACTAGCCCCATTCATTTAAGAGGATTCAAGAGGATAGGTACATTGGCATTGGCTAATTCTTATTCCGGGTCCACCCCCACAGGCCTGGGGTGGTACTGCAGCAGGTCAGCGCACACCATTTTGGACATTTTGAAGCCGGGACCCGCCCACACTGGTCTGGACCTGCAGCTCTGGGGGCAGTGAGAGCAGTGTTTTTACCCTGAGAAGGCGGTGAGGGCCACAGCGGAGTACGGGGACCAGGAGAACACATAGAGGAGGATCACGATGAGCGCAATCTTTGCCATCTTCCACTCGTTCTGAATCCGGTTCAGACTCTTCACCGAGTCCCGACCGCTGCTGCTGCTGCGGGTGCTGCCCTGGATCTTCCCCACGGCTCTGAGGGAAAACCAGTGTTAGAGACCAGAGGGAGACCAGAGGGAGACCAGAGAGAGAGACCAGAGGGAGACCAGAGGGAGACCAGAGAGAGACCAGAGAGAGAGACCAGAGGGAGACCAGAGAGAGAGACCAGAGGGAGACCAGAGGGAGACCAGAGAGAGAGACCAGAGGGAGACCAGAGGGAGACCAGAGGGAGACCAGAGAGAGACCAGAGAGAGAGACCAGAGGGAGACCAGAGAGAGACCAGAGAGAGAGACCAGAGGGAGACCAGAGAGAGACCAGAGAGAGACCAGAGAGAGACCAGAGAGAGACCAGAGAGAGAGACCAGAGAGAGAGACCAGAGGGAGACCAGAGAGAGAGACCAGAGGGAGACCAGAGAGAGACCAGAGAGAGACCAGAGAGAGACCAGAGAGAGACCAGAGGGAGACCAGAGGGAGACCAGAGGGAGACCAGAGAGAGACCAGAGAGAGACCAGAGGGAGACCAGAGGGAGACCAGAGGGAGATCAGAGAGAGACCAGAGAGAGACCAGAGAGAGAGACCAGAGGGAGACCAGAGGGAGACCAGAGGGAGACCAGAGGGAGACCAGAGAGAGACCAGAGGGAGACCAGAGGGAGACCAGAGGGAGACCAGAGGGAGACCAGAGGGAGACCAGAGAGAGACCAGAGGGAGACCAGAGGGAGACCAGAGGGAGACCAGAGGGAGACCAGAGAGAGACCAGAGGGAGACCAGAGAGAGACCAGAGGGAGACCAGAGAGAGACCAGAGGGAGACCAGAGAGAGACCAGAAAGAGACCAGAGAGAGACCAGAGGGAGACCAGAGGGAGACCAGAGGGAGACCAGAGGGAGACCAGAGAGAGAGACCAGAGAGAGAGACCAGAGAGAGAGACCAGAGGGAGACCAGAGGGAGACCAGAGAGAGACCAGAGGGAGACCAGAGAGAGACCAGAGGGAGACCAGAGGGAGACCAGAGAGAGACCAGAAAGAGACCAGAGAGAGACTAGAGAGAGACCAGAGGGAGACCAGAGGGAGACCAGAGGGAGATCAGAGAGAGACCTTGAGAGACCAGAGAGAGAGACCAGAGGGAGACCATGGGGAGAGACCAGAGGGAGACCAGAGAGAGACCAGAGAGTTGGGGACTTACTGGTTGATGATGTCATACTAGTTGGGGACTTACTGGTTGATGGTGTCATGCTAGTTGGAAACTTACAGGTTGATGGTGTCATACTAGTTGGAGACTTAATGGTTGATGGTGTCTTACTAGTTGGGGACTTACTGGTTGATGGTATCATACTAGTTGGGGACTTACTGGTTGATGGGGTCATACTAGTTGGAGACTTACTGGTTGATGGTATCATACTAGTTGGGGACTTACTGGTTGATGGTATCATACTAGTTGGGGACTTACTGGTCGATGGTATCATACTAGTTGGGGACTTACTGGTTGATGGTATCATACTAGTTGGGGACTTACTGGTTGATGGTATCATACTAGTTGGGGACTTACTGTTTGATGGTATCATACTAGTTGGAGACTTACTGGTTGATGGTGTCATACTAGTTGGAGACTTAATGGTTGATGGTGTCTTACTAGTTGGGGACTTACTGGTTGATGGTATCATACTAGTTGGGGACTTACTGGTTGATGGGGTCATACTAGTTGGAGACTTACTGGTTGATGGTGTCTTACTAGTTGGGGACTTACTGGTTTATGGTATCATACTAGTTGGGGACTTACTGGTTGATGGTATCATACTAGTTGGGGACTTACTGTTTGATGGTATCATACTAGTTGGGGACTTACTGGTTGATGGTATCATACTAGTTGGGGACTTACTGGTTGATGGTGTCATACTATTTGGGTACTTACTGGTTGATGGTGTCATACTAGTTGGGGACTTACTGGTTGATGGTGTCATACTAGTTGGAGACTTACTGGTTGATGGTGTCTTACTAGTTGGGGACTTACTGGTTGATGGTGTCTTACTAGTTGGGGACTTACTGGTTGATGGTATCATAATAGTTGGGGATTTACTGGTTGATGGTATCATACTAGTTGGGGACTTACTGGTTGATGGTGTCATACTAGTTGGGGACTTACTGGTTGATGGTGTCATACTAGTTGGGGACTTACTGGTTGATGGTATCATACTAGTTGGAGACTTACTGGTTGATGGTGTCATACTAGTTGGATATTTACTGGTTGATGGTGCCATACTAGTTGGGGACTTACTGGTTGATGGTATCATACTAGTTGGGGACTTACTGGTTGATGGTGTCATACTAGTTGGAGACTTATTGGTTGATGGTATCATACTAGTTGGGGACTTACTGGTTGATGGTGTCATACTAGTTGGAGACTTATTGGTTGATGGTATCATACTAGTTGGGGACTTACTGGTTGATGGTGTCACATGAGTTGGAGACTTAAGCCTAGAGTATACTTGCGCGGCGTGGCTTAAGTTAGCGGTTGCGGTGGACCTACGTAAGCACAATTGATGTTATACTGGCGTGTTCCCCTTACGGAGTTTTGAGGAGAATGTTGTAATCCCACAACAAACCACATGAGGGCGATCACACAGGAGCGGTCCCATTTACGCTGCTACTTTGTCCTCTTCAGAACAACAATAACAAACAAAGCTGTTTGAGCTCATTACACGTGTTTCTACTGTAGGTTTATGTGATAGTTTTATGGATTCATTATTTTATAAGTCATTTCAACTGTGATTCTGTGAATAAAAACACAGTTCTGTTGGAAACATAGTTATTATTAAATAGTTTTCAGCACAAACAGCAAAACAATAATAGTGGTAAATATCTGAGACAAACATAAACGATTTACGAGTGCAGGAGGAAAGCAACAAACGCAGCTACGATTCAAACAAAGACAGGAACAGTTTATAAGTTATATATATGTTAGATATAAGTTATATATATGTTAGATATAAGTTATATATATGTTAGATATAAGTTATATATATGTTAGATATAAGTTATATATATGTTAGATATAAGTTATATATATGTTAGATATAAGTTATATATATGTTAGATATAAGTTATATATATGTTAGATATAAGTTATATATATGTTAGATATAAGTTATATATATGTTAGATATAAGTTATATATATGTATGCTCCATAGTGCCTCGTCCATGCTCCTGCTGCAGCCGCTCCGTGCTTCCTTCCAATACACACACACGGACCAATCACAGCGGAGCTTCCTTGCGGCGACCCTTACGTAGTTAGAACATTTCGATGCTGCGCGGCAGGCGACGTAAGGGCCTTGCGGTGACCAACGCGTTGCGCAAGTGACGTCACGTCACCTCCGTAAGCTCCGCGCCGCGCGAGTATAAACTAGGCTTCACTGGTTGATGATGTTATACTAGTTGGAAATGTACTGGTTGATGGTGTCATACTAGGTGGGGACTTACTGGTTGATGGTGTCATACTAGTTGGGGACTTACTGGTTGATGGTGTCATATTAGGTGGGGACTTACTGGTTGGTGGTGTCATACTAGGTGGGGACTTACTGGTTGATGGTGTCATACTAGGTGGGGACTTACTGGTTGGTGGTGTCATACTAGGTGGGGACTTACTGGTTTGTGGTGTCATACTAGGTGGGGATTTACTGGTTGGTGGTGTCATACTAGGTGGGGACTTACTGGTTGGTGGTGTCATACTAGGTGGGGACTTACTGGTTGGTGGTGTCATACTAGTTGGGGACTTACTGGTTGATGGTGTCATACTAGGTGGGGACTTACTGGTTGGTGGTGTCATACTAGTTGGAAATGTACTGGTTGGTGGTGTCATACTAGGTGGGGACTTACTGGTTGATGGTGTCATACTAGTTGGGGACTTACTGGTTGATGGTGTCATACTAGGTGGGGACTTACTGGTTGGTGGTGTCATACTAGGTGGGGACTTACTGGTTTGTGGTGTCATACTAGGTGGGGATTTACTGGTTGGTGGTGTCATACTAGGTGGGGACTTACTGGTTGGTGGTGTCATACTAGGTGGGGACTTACTGGTTGGTGGTGTCATACTAGTTGGGGACTTACTGGTTGATGGTGTCATACTAGGTGGGGACTTACTGGTTGGTGGTGTCATACTAGTTGGAAATGTACTGGTTGGTGGTGTCATACTAGGTGGGGACTTACTGGTTGATGGTGTCATACTAGTTGGGGACTTACTGGTTGATGGTGTCATACTAGGTGGGGACTTACTGGTTGGTGGTGTCATACTAGGTGGGGACTTACTGGTTGGTGGTGTCATACTAGGTGGGGATTTACTGGTTGATGGTGTCATACTAGTTGGGGACTTACTGGTTGATGGTGTCATATTAGGTGGGGACTTACTGGTTGATGGTGTCATACTAGGTGGGGACTTACTGTTTGATGGTGTCATACTAGGTGGGGACTTACTGGTTGGTGGTGTCATACTAGGTGGGGACTTACTGGTTGGTGGTGTCATACTAGTTGGGGACTTACTGGTTGATGGTGTCATACTAGGTGGGGACTTACTGGTTGGTGGTGTCATACTAGGTGGGGACTTACTGGTTGGTGGTGTCATACTAGTTGGGGACTTACTGGTTGATGGTGTCATATTAGGTGGGGACTTACTGGTTGATGGTGTCATACTAGGTGGGGACTTACTGGTTGATGGTGTCATACTAGTTGGGGACTTACTGGTTGATGGTATCATACTAGTTGGAGACTTACTGGTTGATGGTGTCATACTAGTTGGATATTTACTGGTTGATGGTGTCATACTAGTTGGGGACTTACTGGTTGATGGTATCATACTAGTTGGGGACTTACTGGTTGATGGTATCATACTAGTTGGAGACTTACTGGTTGATGGTGTCATACTAGTTGGATATTTACTGGTTGATGGTGTCATACTAGTTGGGGACTTACTGGTTGATGGTATCATACTAGTTGGGGACTTACTGGTTGATGGTGTCATACTAGTTAGAGACTTATTGGTTGATGGTATCATACTAGTTGGGGACTTACTGGTTGATGGTGTCACATAAGTTGGAGACTTACTGGTTGATGATGTTATACTAGTTGGAAATGTACTGGTTGATGGTGTCATACTAGGTGGGGACTTACTTGTTGATGGTGTCATATTAGGTGGGGACTTACTGGTTGATGGTGTCATACTAGGTGGGGACTTACTGGTTGATGGTGTCATACTAGGTGGGGACTTACTGGTTGGTGGTGCGAATGGCCCTGAAGATGAAGTAGTAACAGTAGACGATGATGAAGAGCGGCAGGAAGAAGACGAAGATGAAGAGGAGCATGGTGTAGGCTCGCACTGAGGGGGTGAAGGTCATATAGTCCCAGGAGCAGGAGGTGAGCAGGCCCTCGGGGACGTACGCACCTGGAAGGACACATGGTTACAGCAACAGTGCTGGTGCCTTATAGCAATAATAATAATAATTCTTCTTGTTATAATTTTCATTATTGTCATTATTATTATTATTATTTTATGCGGATGTTGAGGTTTGCTCAAAGACTGCAGTAGACATGGAAATATACTGTAGAGTGCCCCCTGGTGGAGAGGAGACACACAGCAGCTCTGACTCCCATGGTGAGCAGTAATGAACCAGAAACAGCAGTGACTATAAACATCTGTTTAGATCTAGTCTTCAGGATCGTGGAGGAGCTGATCCACCTCAAGGCCTCAGCTCCTGTGGCTTTACACTGATATTGCTGTTTCCATGGTAACCAGGGAAACAGTCCCATGGAAACAAACACAAAACAATCCACACATATCCGTGCTCACACGGTACACTCAGGTCTGAAACTGTGGGGATTTATGGGTCTAACTTTATCATCCACCCACCCATCCATCCATCCATCCATCCATCCACCCATCCACCCATCCATCCACCCATCCACCCATCCATCCACCCATCCACCCACCCACCCATCCATCCATCCACCCATCCACCCATCCACCCATCCACCCATCCACCCATCCATCCATCCACCCATCCACCCATCCATCCACCCATCCATCCATCCATCCATCCATCCACCCATCCACCCATCCACCCATCCACCCATCCACCCATCCATCCATCCATCCATCCATCCATCCACCCATCCACCCATCCACCCATCCACCCATCCATCCATCCACCCATCCATCCATCCACCCATCCATCCATCCATCCATCCACCCATCCACCCATCCATCCATCCACCCATCCATCCATCCATCCATCCATCCATCCACCCATCCACCCACCCATCCATCCATCCATCCATCCATCCACCCACCCACCCACCCATCCATCCATCCATCCATCCACCCATCCATCCATCCACCCACCCATCACCATACCACCCATCACCCACCATCCACACCACCCCATCCATCCCACCCACCCATACCATCCACCCACCCACCCACCACCCACCCACCCCCATCCATCCACCCACCCCATCCCATCCAGCCCATCCATCCATCCCTCACCACCCATTCCATCCATCCACCCATCCATCCACCCACCATCCATCCATCCACCCACCCACCATCCAATCCATCCACCCATCATCCACCACCACCCACCCATCCACCCACCCACCCACCCATCCATCCATCAACCATCCATCCCGACCACCCAACCCCCACCCACCCACCACCACCCATCCACTCCACCCACCCATCCATCCACCCATCCACCCATCCACCCACCACCCCACCCAACCATCCACCCATCACCCACCCACCTTCATCCACCACCCACCCACCCACCAACCACCCCACCCATCCATCCATCCACCCCATCACCCCCACCCACCATCCACCACCCACCCATCCATCCACCCATCCATCCACCACATCCATTCCCCCTTCCCATCACATCCACCCCCACCCATCCCCTTCCCCCCACCCCCTATCATCCCACCCACCCATCACCCCCCCAACACCCACCCACCACCATACCCATCCCACCCACCCCCCACCACCCCCACCCCACCATTCATTCCATCCCCCATCCATTCCATCCCACCCACCCATCCATCCATCCATCCACCCCATCACCCACCCCATCCATCCACACCACCCATCCATCCACCACCATCCCCATCCACCCCACCATTCCACCCCCACCATCCATCCCACCACCCACCCACACCATCCCACCCCACCCACCACCCCACAACCCCCACCCACCCCACCCCCCCCACCCCACCCACCCCCCACCCCACCCCCCACCCCACACCCCACCCACCCAACCACCCCCCCACACCCCCCCCACACCCACCCCACCCCCCACCCCACCCCCACCCCCCACCCACCCACCCACCCCACCCACCCCCCACCCACCCACCACCACCCACCCACCACCCACCCCACCACCCCACCCCACCCCCACCACCCCCACCCCCCCACCACCCACCCCCCACCCCCCCACCCACCCCCACCACCCACCCCACCACCACCCCCACCACCCACCACCCCACCCCCCACCCCACCACCCCACACCACCCACCCCCACCCACCCACCCCAACCCCCCACCACCCACCCCCCCCACCCACCCCACCCACCCCCCACCCACACCCCCACCCACCACCCCACCCCCCACCCCCCCAACCCCACCACCCACCCCCCACCCCCCACCCACCCCCCACACCCACCACCCAACCCACACCCCACCACCCACCCACACCCCCCCCCACCCCCACCACACCCACCCCACCAACCCCCCACCACCCCACCCCACCCACCCCACCACCCACCCCACACCCCACCCACCCACCCACCCCACCCACACCACCCCCACCCAACCACCCCCACACCCACCCCACCCACCCACCACCCCACCCAACCCCACCACCCCCACCCCCCCACCCCACCCCCCCCCACCACCCCAACCACCACCCAACCCCACCCACCCACCCCCCCCACCCACCCCCCACCCACCCACCCCCACCCCACCCACCCCACCCCACACCCCCCACCCAACCACCCACACCCACCCCACACCCCCACCCACCACCCACCCCACCACCACCCCCACACCCACACCCCAACCACCCCCCACCCCACCACCCACCCACCCCCCCCCACACACCCACACCCCCACACCACCCACCACCCCCACCCACCCCCACCCACCCCCCACCACCCCCACCAACCCACCCCCCACACCCCCACACCCACCCACCCCCACCACCCACCACCCCACCACCCAACCCCCCACCCCACCCCCACACCCACCCACCCACCACCACCCACCACCCACCCCACCCCCACCCACCCCACACCCACACCACCCACCCCACCACCCCCACCCACCACCACCCACCCACCACCCCCCCAACCCCCACACCCACACCCCACCCCCACCCCACCCACCCCACACCACCCACCCCCACCCACCCACCCCACCCACCCCACACCACCCCCACACCACCCCCCCACCACCCCACACCCACCCACCACCCACCACACCCCAACCACCCCACCCCCCACCCACCACCCCCCCACCCCACCACCCCCACCCACCCCACCCCACCCACCCCACCCCCACCACCCACCCCCACCCCCACCCACCCCCCACCCACCCCCACACCCCCACCCCACCCCCCACCCCACCACCCCACCCCCCACCACCCACCACCCCCCACCCCCCACACCACCCCACCACCCCCCACCCCCCCCACCCCACCCCCACCCACCCACCCACCCCCACCCACCCCCACCCCCCACCACCACCCACCCCACCCACCCACCCCACCCCCACCCACCCCACCACCCACCCCACCACCCACCCCAACCCACCCCCCACCACCCACCACCACCCACCCACACCACCCCACCCACCACCACCACCCACCCCACCCACCACACCCACCACCACCCCCCCACCCACCCACCCACCCACCACCCACCCCCACCACACCCCAACCACCCACCCCACCCACCACCCACCCACCCAACCACCCACCACCCACCCACCCACCCCAACCACCCACCCCCACCAACCCCCACCACCCCACACCCCACCCACCCACCACCACACCCACCCCCACACCCACCACCAACCCCCCACCACCCAACCCACCACCCCACCCCCACCCACCCCACCACCCACCACACCCCACCCACCCACCCACCACCCCCACCACCCACCACCCCACCCACCACCCCACCCACCACCCCACCCACCCCACCACCACCCACCCACCCCACCCACCCCCACCCAACCACCCACCCACCACCACCCACCCACCCACCCACCACCCCACCCCCCCACCACCCACACCCACCCACCCCCCAACCCACCACCCACCCCCACCCACCACCCCCCACCCACCCCCCACCCCACACCACCCACCCCCCCACCCCACCACCCCACCACCCTCCCACCCCACCCATCCCCCCCACCCACCACCCCCCCCACCCATCCCACCCCACCCCCCCACCCACACCTCCCCTACCCCACCACCCCCCCACCCAACCACAAAACCCTCCTCACCCACCCACCCCCATCCAACAACGCCCACCTCCCCCCACCCACCCCCCACCACCACCACCCCACAACATCCACCAACATACCCACCAACCCCAACCACCAACCCCACCCCCCACCAACCCTCCACCCATCCCACCCCACCTCATCACCCACCCATTCCACCCACCCCCCACCCACCCCCCACACCCACCAACCACCCCACCCACCCCTAACATCTCGCAACCACCCCCCCACCACCACCCCACCCACACACCCCACCCCCACCCCCAACCACCCACCCCAATCCCACCACCACCCACCCACCCACCTCCCATCAACCCACCCTCACCACCCACCCACCCAAACACCCACCACCCAGACACCTAATACACCTACCACCCACCCCACCCCCACACCCACACCCACCACCCACACCTAATACACCTACCACCCACCCCCACCACCCCCCACACCCCCCCCCCCCCCCACCCCCCCCCACCCACCACCCACCCCCCATACACCACCCCCCCATACACCAATCACCACCACCCACCCACCCAACACCACCCACCCCCCCCACCCCCCCCCACCCATACCCTACCCCCATACCCCACCACCCACCCCCATACACCTACCACCCACCCACCCAACACCCACCCACCCCACCTACCACCCACCCACCCAACACCACCACCCATACACCTAATACACCTACCCACCCATACACCCACCACCCATACACCTAATACACCTACCACCCACCCCCCATACCCCCACCCACCCCACCTACCCCACCCACCCACCCATACACCTACCACCCATACACCTAATACACCTACCACCCACCCACCCATACACCTACCACCCATACACCTAAACCTACCACCCCCCACCCGACACCCACCCCCCCCCCACCCATACACCTACCACCCACCCACCCATACACCCACCACCCATACACTAATACACCTACCACCCATACACCCACCCCCATACACCCATACACCACCACCCACCACCACCCACCCCAACCACCCACCCACCCGTACACCTACCACCCACCCACCCATACACCCACCACCCATACACCCCCACCCACCCACCCAGACACCCACCACCCATACACCTACCACCCACCCACCCATACACCTACCACCCACCCACCCATACACCCACCACCCATACACCTACCTCCCACCCACCCAGACACCCACCACCCATACACCTACCACCCACCCACCCATACACCTACCACCCACCACCCATACACCCACCACCCATACACCTACCTCCCACCCACCCAGACACCCACCACCCATACACCTACCACCCACCCACCCATACACCCACCACCCATACACCTACCACCCACCCACCCATACACCTACCACCCACCCACCCATACACCCACCACCCATACACCTACCACCCACCCACCCATACACCCACCACCCATACACCTACCACCCAGACACCTAATACACCTACCCCCCACCCACCCATACACCTACCAACCAAACACCTAAAAAACACCTACCACCCACCCACCCATACACCTGCCATCCATACACCTACCACCCACCCATCCATACACCTACCAACCATACACCTAAAAAACACCTACCACCCACCCACCCATACACCCACCACCCATACACATACCACCCACCCACCCATACACCCACCACCCATACACCTACCACCCACCCATCCATACACCTACCAACCATACACCTACCACCCACCCACCCAAACACCTACCACCCACCCACCCATACACCCACCACCCACCCACCCATACACCTACCAACCATACACCGTAGGCGGCACGGTGGCTGAGTGGATAGGGTTCGAATCCCGGTCGGAACAGGGCCTTTCTGAGTGGAGTTTGCATGTTCTCCCCATGTCTGCGTAGGTTTCCTCCGGGTGCTCTGGTTTCCCCTACCACTAAAAACAATAGGTCTGAATGTAAATGAGAGAGTGAATGATGGTGTTGGAGCTGATGGTCCAGTGTGTTCTGGACTCGCTTCTGTCATCACCGTGTGTGGAAGGATTGGAACAATATCTGACTCTGAACATTGGAAAGTGCTTTGGGTCTGTACCTTGGTCTGTAAAATACGCTATATAAATAAACATTACTTACTTACCTACCACCCACCCACCCATACACCTGTCCCGCTCTCTCCGCTCCTCATGTGCTGCTCTCCTCACTGTCCCCACCGTCAAAGTAGCCCTGGTGGGGGCCAGAACATTCAGCCTATGCCCTTAAACTCTGGGTGGTTGTTTTGGGCCGGGGGAGGGGCTCTGACTGCAGAACAGAGAGAGAGTTTGAGGAGCCAACAATAACACACAAATGGAGGAAAGCTCAGCGTGGTGTGTGCAGTGTTATCTGCTGGAAAATACCTGCCTTAAGAAAACCTAGCAGTGGTTCCCAGCCTTTGTGGCCCTGTGTAGCCTCTCACCAGGGCAGCCCTGGATAGCACCCCCACTTCTCAGCAAGAAGGTCCTGGGTTTGAATCCCGGTCGGAGCTCTGTGATCCATACTACTGCGGGACGCACACGTATGACGGCCTTATGTCACATATCACCAGAATGATTGACAAGTAGGAGGACCAATAGTCAAGATGATTCAGGGGTCATTTATCCCGACTCTGTGGCTGAGTGGATAGCTCCGGTTTCCCCTACCACTAAAAACATGTGCGGTGTGGAGCGGCGTGGAGCGGCGTGGAGCGGCGTGGAGCGGCGTGGAGCGGCGTGGAGCAGTGTATTGCCGCCGGAGAAAGGTGTGAACTCTGTGGCTTCAATGACCTCACCACTTCCCCGCACGAACGTTTGGACATGCACAGTAGAACGTAAACAACAATGGCGGCGGATTAACTACTGCTACATATGCTTTGCTAACGGAGGAGGATTCTACTCCTTCGTCCAACTGAAACCACGCAAAGCTTTAGTTTCAGTTTCCATTTTCGTACGAACTGTTAAATGCAGAATGATGTTGGTTCTTTGCAGTGCCTGAGGAGGATGTGGTTTTACTGGCCCCCCTTCTGCCAGGCGATAGAACTACATTGTTAAACACACTACAGACTCTTAGCACTTTGAATCAGTGTAAACGCAGCCTAACTGCTAATTTACACATCACGCGTTACAGCACGTACGCGTTATACGCGCAGCAGACGCGCGTAACTTTTTTCCATGTTAACCTATGATGATATTTACACTTCTAGCGTTATACGCGCGTATGACAGACGTATGACGCGAAGCTGCGCTCTAATTTAGGATGGATTTCTAATTTTGTGCGCGCACCAACGCGTCTCCCATTGAAATCTCATGTAAAACATGATTTTTCTAGCGGTCCTTGGCTCTAGATCACATCTACACACACACAGCACTTGTATCTAAACATCAGCAGGAGGAGCAGCAGGTTTTACAGTGATTCTGGAAATTTCTTTCATAAAGTCTTGCGTCTGGCCAAACCAGCACAGAGACCATGGAGACAAACACATGCATGTGATTTGTGTTGCTCTACATCAGTCCTCTGTACTGTCCTCTGCACTGCTCCATAGACTACACAGGGACAGCATCAGAAGACGCGGACCTGCGCGCACGGCCAGTGTAGATACTCCAAAAAAATGTTACGCGCAGAGAGCGCGCAGTAAATGCGTACGCGCTGTTTACGCCTACTGTGTAAATTCCCCGTAACAGGGAATTTACACAGTAGGCGTAACAGCGCGTACGTGCTGTAACGCCTCATGTGTAAATTAGCAGTAAGGACACAGGGGGGCGTCACCACATCTGTTTGTGTTCTGGTCAAACAAGTATCAAAGTGAAATACTGCTTGACCTGTCTTACCCCTGTGTCGCCACCAGAGGGAGGAGTGGAGTTTGTTTTGTTTCTTTGCATTTGGAAATTCACCGCCTGCTTCTGACATTAGCATGGATGCCTCTAAAAACAACGCCAGGTCTGTTTTTGACGATGAACAACGTTGGAAGGAGGTTAAAAAGCTCCAACATGTCGACTTTAAAGACACGGACAGAGTCGCTCGAGCGCCGTCTGTCGAACGTCGTAAAACACGGCGGCGGCGGCGAAGGGAATCTGACGCACTCAAAGAATATGACGGCCATAAAAGTTTATAGCAGATAAATTTGCGAAGGTTAAGAACTAAACGGCTGTAAAGCAAACAGAGCGCGGTGGGCGAAGGGGGGACATGGGGAGAGTGATAGGGCAGACGGGGGAGGGCGGGGCCGAAGGGGGGAGGGGGGGCAGACAGGGGGGGGGGGCAGACAGGGGAGGGCGGGGGCAGACGGGGGAGGGGGGGCTCTCTGAGAGCGGGACAGCGGCCTTCAATGCTGGGAGGATCAGAGTTTACTGTGATGTGAGCCTCAGTGATACATGTTACTCTGAAATACTACTAATATTACTGTCTCTGAATCAGAAAGTATTACTCTACTACTGCAGGTACTTTCCCCAAATATATAAATACAAACTGAATATGGACTATAATTCTACATAAATATATAAATATATAGCTGGTGGGTGGCACAGTGTCTGAGTGGTTAGCACTGTAACGTACAATTACTTTTGTTACTCCCAACACTGCGCAGGAATTATAAAAATGTCTGTTTTTGTGTCTGAGTTTCTACTTTAGTCTCATGTGGAGTCGTTTGGACTAGAATCAGTCGTTTAGACTAGAATCAGTCGTTTAGACTAGAATCAGTCATTTAGACTAGAATCAGTCGTTTAGACTAGAATCAGTCGTTTAGACTAGAATCAGTCGTTTGGACTAGAATCAGTCGTTTAGACTAGAATCAGTCGTTTAGACTAGAATCAGTCGTTTGGACTAGAATCAGTCGTTTGGACTAGAATCAGTTGTTTAGACTAGAATCAGTTGTTTAGACTAGAATCAGTCGTTTGGACTAGAATCAGTCATTTAGACCAGAATCAGTCGTTTGGACTAGAATCAGTCGTTTAGACCAGAATCAGTCGTTTGGACTAGAATCAGTCGTTTAGACTAGAATCAGTCGTTTAGACTAGAATCAGTCGTTTGGACTAGAATCAGTCGTTTAGACTAGAATCAGTCGTTTAGACTAGAATCAGTCGTTTAGACTAGAATCAGTCGTTTGGACTAGAATCAGTTGTTTAGACTAGAATCAGTTGTTTAGACTAGAATCAGTCGTTTAGACTAGAATCAGTCGTTTAGACTAGAATCAGTTGTTTAGACTAGAATCAGTTGTTTAGACTAGAATCAGTCGTTTAGACTAGAATCAGTTGTTTGGACTAGAATCAGTTGTTTAGACTAGAATCAGTTGTTTAGACTTAAACTAGAATCAGTTGTTTAGACTAGAATCAGTTGTTTAGACTAGAATCAGTCGTTTAGACTAGAATCAGTCGTTTGGACTAGAATCAGTTGTTTAGACTTAAACTAGAATCAGTTGTTTAGACTAGAATCAGTCGTTTAGACTTAGACTAGAATCAGTCGTTTAGACTAGAATCAGTCGTTTAGACTAGAATCAGTCGTTTAGACTTAGACTAGAATCAGTTGTTTAGACTAGAATCAGTTGTTTAGACTAGAATCAGTCGTTTAGACTAGAATCAGTCGTTTAGACTTAGACTAGAATCAGTTGTTTAGACTAGAATCAGTTGTTTAGACTAGAATCAGTTGTTTAGACTAGAATCAGTCGTTTGGACTAGAATCAGTTGTTTGGACTAGAATCAGTCGTTTAGACTAGAATCAGTCGTTTGGACTAGAATCAGTCGTTTGGACTAGAATCAGTTGTTTAGACTTAAACTAGAATCAGTCGTTTGGACTAGAATCAGTTGTTTAGACTAGAATTAGTTGTTTAGACTAGAATCAGAAATAAAACTATGACCTGGACCTAAACATGAAACTGGTCTGAACTGAAATGCTGTGGGCGTCGTTTAAGGTAAGACAATAAAACACTAATAAGGATAAAATAATAATCTTTCATCTTTCACTCCAAAGTGGCACACCCAGCCACAGCTGCCCTGGGGCACACTGACAGAAGCGAGACAACCAGTCTGTGCCATGGGCCCCTCCCACCACCACCAACCATTCACACACACACACCAGACTCATTCTAGGCAATGGGGGTAAAGTGTCTTGCCTAAGGACACAACCACAGTTTGGCATAAGACCGGAGAGTGACCAGAGGGAGACCAGAGAGAGAGGCCGGAGAGAGACCTGAGGGAGACCAGAGAGAGACCAGAGGGAGACCAGAGAGAGACCAGAGAGAGACCAGAGAGAGACCAGAGAGAGACCAGAGAGAGACCAGAGAGAGACCAGAGAGAGACCTGAGGGAGACCAGAGAGAGACCAGAGAGAGAAGCCGGAGACAGACCAGAGGGAGACCAGAGAGACACCAGAGAGAGACCAGAGAGAGACCAGAGAGAGACCAGAGAGAGACCAGAGAGAGACCAGAGAGAGACCAGAGAGAGACCAGAGAGAGACCAGAGAGAGACCTGAGGGAGACCAGAGAGACACCAGAGGGAGACCAGAGAGAGACCAGAGAGAGAAGCCGGAGAGAGACCAGGGAGAGACCAGAGAGAGAGGCCGGAGAGAAACCAGAGGGAGACCAGAGAGAGACCAGAGAGCGACCAGAGAGAGACCAGAGAGAGACCAGAGAGAGACCAGAGAGAGACCAGAGAGAGACCAGAGAGAGACCAGAGAGAGACCAGAGAGAGAAGCCGGAGAGAGACCAGAGAGAGACCAGAGAGACCAGACAGAGACTAGGGGCGGCACGGTGGCTGAGTGGATAGCACTCTCACCTCTCAGCAAGAAGGTCCTGGGTTCGAATCCCGATCGGACCAGGGCCTTTCTGAGTGGAGTTTGCATGTTCTCCCCATGTTCCTCCGGGTACTCCGGTTTCCCCTACCACTAAAAATATGTCCAATAGTTCTGGCATGCGCCTCCTGTACTGGCCCCGCTCCCATCTCTGTGTGGAGTGAGAGACAAATGCCCAAAATTAACAATTGTAAAGACTCAGACCTGCAGTGAAAAGGCAGTATATAAATAAAAACTTACTTACTTACTTACCAGAGAGAGACCTGGTCTTTCTCTTCTAAAGGTGTGTCTGTGATGAATGTGTGTGTGTGACCTCTGACCCCCAGCTCCTGTGATCTCTGCGGCTACAGAGAGGTCAGGTATACAGTCAGACACAGACAGTTACAGACAGATACAGACAGATAGGTCAGAGGGTCCTGAGCAAACTAACATCTATGCTGGACCATGACTGTCGCCCCCTGCAGGACACTCTCTCTGCTCTGGAGAGCAGCTTCAGTGACAGACTTATTCACCCTCGCTGTGTGAAGGAGAGGTTCCGTAGGTCTTTCCTTCCTCCTTCCTTCAGACTGTACAATAAGAACTGCTGAGCCTGTAAATTTCATCCATCTGTAATTAAGTAAATTCCTAAATCATGTGCAAAATACTGCAACTTCAGAATGTCACAGAACAATGTCACTTTACCTCATGTCACTTTACTTATATACTTTTTATCCTGCACTATTTAACTGTACAGTATATAACTGCACTATATATATTTTTGACTGGTATTGAAGCATTTTCAGTTATGTTAGCTAAGAAACATAGCTACTACTTATTTGTATATATTGTGTGTGATCCCTGTGTGCTCTGTGCGCTGCAACATGGAAATTTCCCCACTGTGGGACGAATAAAGGTAATCTTATCTTATAGAGACAGATACATACAGGTACAGACAGATACAGACAGACACAGACAGACACAGACAGACACAGACACAGACAGACACAGACAGACACAGACAGACACAGACAGATACAGACAGACACAGACAGACACAGACAGACACAGACAGACACAGACAGATACAGACACAGACAGACACAGACAGACACAGACAGATACAGACAGACACAGACAGATACAGACAGACACAGACAGACACAGACAGACACAGACAGACACAGACAGACACAGACAGATACAGACAGATACAGACAGACAGACACAGACAGATACAGACAGATACAGACAGACACAGACAGACACAGACAGACACAGACAGACACAGACAGATACAGACAGATACAGACAGATACAGACAGATACAGACAGACACAGACAGACACAGACAGATACAAACAGACACAGACAGACACAGACAGACACAGACAGACACAGACAGACACAGACAGATACAGACAGACACAGACAGGAGTATTGATCCAAAGCAATGAGAAAAGAATTATAAAAAGCAAAGCAATTCCTGTGTTTTGGAGGGTGTGTGTGTGTGTGTATGTGTGTGTGTGTGTGTGTGTGTGTGTGTGTGTGTGTGTGTGTGTGTGTGTGTGTGTGTGTGTGTGTGTGTGTGTGTGTGTGGGGGGGGGATCGCGGATTCTTGGAGCAGCGGTCGGGTCCTCTGTGGAGACGGCAGCAGGATGGGAGTGGGGGGTCGGGGGGGTGGTCTTTTTACAGCGTGTTTACGGCCTCGCGGACACCACGTGCACACCATGTGACTCAGAGAGACCTGACACAGGAATGTACTTGTTTTTTTAAGGATTTGTGAAGTGTGTGAAGAAAACACAGCGGAATCTGATCCTTTTGTAGCGTGTCAGAGAAATCAGATCAAAGGGACCGTGAGATCTGGGCCTAGTCCGTCACTATAGCAACAGACAATAATAGACATTAATTAATATTTATACAAGAGAGAAAATAGGACCCACTTCACAATATTGGCAATAATTCAATTACGTTTATTGGGGAAACTAGCGCTGCCATCTCCCAGAAGGGCCTGGGCTCGTCTCTGCGGAGTTTGCATGTTCTCCCCCTGTCTCTGATTTGCCTATACCAGAGCATGCAATGGGACTGAAGAAAACCTTTACTGAAAGCATTTCAAATATATTAATGTTTGGGACATTTTTCAAGAATATTTTTTACGCAATGCGACTTTGTTTAGAATTAAATACACAGTTTAAATATAACAATAACTACTGATTGTGATTTGGGGAACAATAAAGGAACTCGGAACGGGAATCATTTCTGTATCAAACACATTAAAGGCCTCGGGTTTGTCTCTTTTCCCCGGTGTCTCTGTGGTTCTTCTCTGGGTCAGGAGGGTCTGAGGACAGTGGGTGTCTGTGGTTCTTCTCTGGGTCAGGAGGGTCTGAGGACAGTGGGTGTCTGTGGTTCTTCTCTGGGTCAGGAGGGTCTGAGGACAGTGGGTGTCTGTGGTTCTTCTCTGGGTCAGGAGGGTCAGGGACAGTGGACAGTGGACAGTGAATCCACATTCACAGACACTGCTCCAGCTTCAGCCATTTCTAATTTACTGTAGTTTTACATTTCTACTAAAACTGAGGATAATTTGACTCTAAAAAGACAGTGTTTGGTGCCAGTAATTGTTGTATTTTCCTGCAGCTGTGATAGGGTTTTTACATAAAGTCATTAACCACAAGGCCCGAGTCTCAAATATGTAAATGATAATAAATAATATAAACAATGTAAACAATATAAATAATATATAAACACAGGAACATAACAAAGTGACCTTTCTTTTTCAAACAACGTCACATAAACAAGCACGCGCACGCCGTCCCCGCACTGCACGCTCCCGTTAGATCCGCGTGCACGATTACCCACAGACACAATTGTCCAGCGATTTCCTTTCAATCTCACATCCATTATGTTCACTGCGCGCGCCCCGTCTGCGCGTGACCGTGATTTACTGATTCTAATTAATTTTCACATCCGTCAAATCGACACAAATCACGTTTACTGCTTTTACTGCTGCTGCTGTTGTTGTTGTTTTCCTCACGTAAACTCAGGAGGCGCGCGCGGAACGTCAACTTTTCAACCGCTTTCATCTTTGACCTGAATCACGCACTCTGTCACGCGCTCATCTCCTGGGCCCTGTGACGTATGCGGAAGAACAGAGATGACTCTAACCTTAATAATAAAGACTGCAAGCCTCAAACATTTAAAATAAATAATGAAAGGAACTAGCTTTGATCTATTCTCAATTGGATTGAATTTCTTATGTTTACCTTCATGTATGTAAACTTTTCTCAAATAAATTAATTATAAAAAAGACACGACTTTGACCTAAAATATTCTTACAACAAAAAGAAGCGAGAGTTTTAAAAGGTTTTGATAAAATAATTGAGTCAGTTTTATTGTTATTATTACTTTTACTTGCAGAAAAAACAAGTACAGAAAAACAAGATTCTGTTGTGAAATTCATTTGTTAATAAAAGCTGGAAGAAAATCATGAATAATATACAAAATAAAATATTATAATTTGTTGCTGTTGTTAGTCATTATTATATAGTGAAAGAATTATGTGTTATACAATATATAAATACATGAATGTTTATGGAAATAATCTGTAACTCTGAACCTAACCCTATACTTTAACTAACTCTAACTCTAACTCTAACCCTAACTCCTCTAATTCCCTGACCCTAGAATAACGTGAATAATTTTCAGTGTTTTTGTTTCTGAACAGCTGCTCAAACTTTCATGTGTCTCAAATTAATTAAGCCCAGTTTAAAAACCAGGCTACATCCACATCCACACACTGCTGCTGTCTTCTCCAGGTCCTGGTCCTGGTCCTGTGTCTTCTCCTGGTCCTGGTTCTGGTCCTAATCCTGGTCCTGTGTCTTCTGTCAAAGCAATTTCCTATAGTTTGTGACTTCCTGTTACTCACACGGCAATAAAATGATTCTGATTCTGATTCTCCTGATCCTGGGTCTGTGTCTTTTGATCCTGGACCTGATCCGATCTTGCTGATCCTGGTCCTGATCTTGGTCCTGATCCTGGTTCTCTGTCTTTTGATCCTGGTCCTGATCCTGAGCCCGGTCTTTATCCTGCTGGTCCTGATCCTGGTCCTGTGTCTTCTCCTGATCCTGATCCTGATCCTGGTCCTGATCCTGGTCCTGATCCTGGTCCTGATCCTGCTGGTCCTGATCCTGGTCCTTTGCCTTCACTTCTTTTTCCCTTTTCCCAAACCGACCCTAGAAATTACACCCGCGCCGTTTGCTTTTAAAACCGCTTATTGAGCTTTATGTCCGGATTTAATAGAACCATAAACTCTGAGGCTGAGCTGCTGTGACGCGGACCGGCCGCTTGGAGGCGCTCGTGCTCCATGGAAAAAGCCCATTCACGAAGCTGGAGCTGGCGAGGAGTCATGTGAAGACGCAGGGGAAAAAAAATCAAATAGCCTCATTTTTTGTGCTTTAAGGTGAAATATCTCAAATGTTTCACTTTTACGAGTTTAAATTCTAACTTTGTGAGTGTTTAAGGCAGACAGAGGAAGGGACTGATGTGGTGAGGCTTCCCAAAGGCGTGCAGGATACAGAGCCAGTCCGGAAATGTTTATTTTTCCTGGCGCAAATTCGCTCCAAGGACGCGCCATAGTTCATTACAGACGCGCGTAAAAACTGCAGTCACACATCCTTTCTCAGGTAGCACTGGGGAGAAGCTATAATTACATGTAAAGAATATATGTTCCACACACACGCTATAGACACAGACACCATCTCTGTGCGTAAAAACCCACCCATTCTTACCCTTAAGTGTTTTACGCAATCAATAGCATATCATTGGGTTGGATTGCGTGCGATTGGAACAAGCAGACCCGACTCCAAACGCGTTCTCAGCATTATTGCGCGTGTAAAACTTCCAATTGGCTTCAGTACGAGCCGCCCGCGACGAGTTACGAGAGCAATTTCAAAGAGAAAACAATGCGAGCCGTGCGTAATGGTATTTGGGGAGACCCGCGCCATGCGTAAAGTTCATTTATGCCTAATGGGAACATATTGGGTTTGTATGAGTGTAGCCTGCTTCCAGATGACATCACAGCTTTGACAGACCAATATTTATCCATACAGAGGAGATAGATGTGTTGGAGGGTCCGTATGAAAAGTGGATTGCAATTAACAAAGAAAATCATTGTATAATCCACATTTGGACTCGTAAATGTTTCTGTCTCCTCTCACAATGTTATGCTACGGATCTATCTAACTGTATTAACGCGCAGGTGTGTAGTGGATGCCTCTAATCGCGCGTTTACGGCCTCCGGTGGCGTAAAGGGCGAGTCGTAAACCCCCAGTTTTGTGCGTGTACGCGATAAACAAGGCGGTCGCGGAAACGCAGTAAAACCGGGGCCCCATGCGCTTGTACACACGGGCACGTTAACGCACGCGGCCGCCTCCTCCGGGCCTCCCCCATCCACGCATTTATGGACGCTCGTATTTATTAGAAAAGTGATCAGAAAGGAGCAGGCGACAAATTGGTTTCAAATGTGGTGTTTATGTTGTGGGAGCAGGTGAGTGTCGGACTAAAGCACCGACATCACCATAATAACGGGCACGCGCTGGGGTTGTTGTAAATAGGCATTAAATGTATATTACAGTTTTTATTTTCGGTTTTATTAAGTCTTTTGAAGTGGAGTACAGGAGATATACAGCAGACGAGTGTGTGCGTGTATACGGGGCGCGTGCACGTGTGAGAGTGTGCGCACAGAAGCCAATAGAAGGAAGGTCTGATAATAGATGCAAATGATCCCTGAAGCCATGGTCCCACACACACACACACACACACACACGCACACACACACGCATACTATACACACACACACATACCACACACACACTCATACCACACACACACACACACATACTACACACACACACACACACACACACACACACACACACACACACACAAAGATACATACTACACACACACACTTATACACTTGCAGGGGCCGGGGAGGAGAGAGGACGCGCGTGCACGTGCGGAGAGAGAGCAGGAGCGCGGAGAGAGAGGCGCACACAGAGAGAGAGGAAATATGAAACAAGTCATTTGCAGCGGAGTAAATCACGGAAAAGCCGTTTGAGCGCGCGACAATGCTCCCGCACGAGCCGCTGCTCCTCGGTGTGTGAGCCCGTGGGTGTGAGGACCTCTGTGTTGGAGTCTGACCGCAGCGTCACCAGGAGCCGCTTACGGCCAGTGCGTGGGTCCGAGCGGGGACGCGCCACAGCGGCGAACAGCGTACGGAGCCGCGTGCGTGCGGGAGCGCGTGTGTCCCACGCAGCGGACAGCAGTGTCCCTCCGAGCCGGTCCCGCCGCAGACATGAGCTCTTATTTCGTCAACTCGCTCTTTTCCAAATACAAAAGCGGCGAATCTTTGCGCCCGAACTACTACGAGTGCGGCTTCGCGCAGGAGCTTGCGGGCAGCCGTCCCACGGTGGTGTACGGCCCGGGCTCCGGGGCCAGCTTCCAACATGCGCCACAGATCCAGGACTTCTACCACCACAGCGCCTCCACGCTGCCCACCAACCCGTACCAACAGAGCCCGTGCGCCGTCACGTGTCACGGGGAGCCCGGGAACTTCTACGGCTACGACGCGCTGCAGCGGCAGACGCTGTTCGGGGCTCAGGACGCGGACCTGGTGCAGTACAGCGACTGTAAACTGTCCACAGCCCCGGGACTGACGGGGGAGGACGGGGAGGGCACGGACCAGAGCCCCTCACCCACACAGCTCTTCCCGTGGATGAGACCACAAGGTGAGCACGCGCTAATGTCACAGTCTCGTTATAGTCCCCGGTGCACGAGGAGGTCACGGATGTCAGTCCTGATGTAATCTTAGACCGAGGAGAAGTTGTCAAAGTTCTCAGACTCGTGCGCTTCACAACATCCTGTCACTGGTTTATGGTTTTACTGCAGCTCACACTTTAGGACCCAACATCCGGGTCCCGCAGCTCCACGGGACTGGGAAACTAGAAAACTGAATAATTCAATCGGTAATTCATTATTATTTCATTATTATTATGGACTCAGTCTCTGTGTTTCTGCTGCAGGCCTCTGTAAACATCTGCTCATGTTTCTGTGGCACAAACACGTCCCACTGTTTTATTTACACTTACTATTCCAAGAGTCAGACACATCTCAGTCCAAACAGCTCCTTCTTCAGAGACAGAGCCGAGCTTTGGGAGCAGCAGGAGCCGAGGAGGCAGACTCTGCTCGGCCGCCGCGCATCGACCACTTTTACGACTTTCCCAGAGTGCGTGAGGGGTTATGGGAAGCGCGGGCCCCTTCTCTCCCCTTCTCTCTCCCCTCAATTGTCTCCTCTGGTCTCCCCTTCTCTTCTCTCCCATTCTCTCCCCTTCTCTCCCCTTCTCTTCTCTCCCATTCTCTCCCCTTCTCTCCCCTTCGCTTCTCTCCCCTTCTCTCCCCTTCTCTCCCCTTCTCTCTCCTTGTCTCCCCTTGTCTCCCCTTCTCTCCCCCACTGGCTGCTTTACAGGCGCGGTTTATAGTCTGCGATACTTGGACACTATTGTTGTCAAGGCCCTTTATGAAGAGGGTGCAGTAAAAGGACCACGCATGTGTCCCGTGCACCGCAAACAATCGAATCCCGACCATAGTGGGCTTTGAAACCGAAACGGGGACGTTTGTGAATCGAAAAAAGCAGCGGCGACAACGCGATGAGTCTGATGTGGGTTAAAAACACATTCAACTGTACCAGGTTTGGGTTCATATCAGCAGAACAAAACGCCAATAAGAACAAAAAGTGCTGAACAGAACTGTATATGATTGGTTTGCAGTGGAAATACACTTTGAAATTGTGGGATCCAACTGTTGTTTATAATCTATTTGCGTTCACCAATGGTTCGCTACATTTCTTAAGCTAATATTATGGATCAGACAATAACAAATGTCGCCGCTCTGTGTGTATTTAAAGGTAAAGGATTGTCATGCGATTACATTATAATCCTTGGTTTAGTCACGTTTAACCTTTGTTTTGCTTTGAGGCCAGAGATGTGTCTATAACAGATTATTATTTGACATCGTTCTTATTTGAAAAAACCTTCTTATAGCCTTTTCCCAACACGTAATTTATTCAATTCCAAGTCACACCGATAAAAACGACCCATATTGTAAAGTATAAGTTATATATGTTCATAGTCCAAAATCCATTTCCAAACAGTGAAACTATTCATCTCCATTCATTTGATTCAATTTGAGTGTGAATAGACGTTTGCTTGTATCAAATAGTGTCTATAATTTAGCCACAAACGCGTGCGTAATGGCGTGCGTAAAAAAGTATCCACGCTTTTAATTTGACGCGCGTGGAGTTGATGTACAGTCTGGATTCTCACACATTCTTAACCACTTGAAACTGATATTTTTACGACTCACTCCATGCGCGCGCTCCCTTTTTTCCCTTTTTTTTCTTCACATACTCCACTTTTGGATAGACTTTACGCGCGGGCATCACGGCGCACGGTATGGCTCTGACAAGACGCAGGGATAAGGACGTATTGACGTGTCGCGTTTTAAGAGCCATAATTCTTCCCTCGCTCCTGTCCGCGCGGAGTGGGGACACACTGAGCGCGCAGGGGATTATGGGGAGGATTTTTTGAAGAGCTCGCAGCCGTATGTGGACTTTTGTGGTTTTATGATAATGATCGTAAAACAGGAGCGCGCTGAGGCTGAGAGCTGCCGCTGTTACGCGCGGGAACAATGGGCCGAAGAATGACTTGGATTCAGATTATGAAGAGAAATGTAGCTGTTTATTCCACTGGGATTCGTTTTTTTAAGATGTGACTTCGTATTTCCGGGTTTGGAGATATTTCTGAATATGCATCAATAGTGAAATACGGCTTTATATTGTGTTTTTAAATAGTAGTCTGTGTATAACAACAAATGTCGGCTATCACCACATGGATTTATCAATGACATAAATACAAGATCAAGCTGTATTAGCAGTAATTTAGCTTATAATATCTATTTTAATGACAATAAAGTTGAATCTAATTTGATTTTAAATTCTCGTAACGTCTTAAACTGTGTCAAATGTGCAGGTTCTTGAAAGAGGAAAAAATGTGTTTGTTTAAAATAAGAAATGGTTCAGTTTAAATGTGTTCATATGATATAATTCTTTAATTCAGACACGTCAAAAGTCCATTAAATATTTAAAACAGACAAACATTTACAGTTTTTGCAAATAGGAAAAAACGAAAAGTCTCAAGCCTCAAGGTTTTTACATATCTTTCTGAGGTTTGTTGAAGTCATTTGTGGATATTTTCTATGAACAATGTAGTTTAAAAACACGTGTGTCTAATGGCACAGACCAAGCATCTGTTATAGAAGTGACAACATGGAAATATGACTGTGATAAAAATGTGTATTAAGGTTTTGGGTTCCGCTGACACTGTTGGGACAAAGACCATAGATACAGCTAATCTAATACATTATTATACGGTTTAAAAAATAAAATCAGCCGATTTATAAAGTCTTGTGTTTTTGTCTCTGTATTTTAACTAAACTAAATAGATTTAATACTCGCTCCATGTTTCCAGAATCATTTACAGAACCTCAAACTTTACTCGTATCAATAAATAGCGATTCTCAGCTTCCCCTTTTGTACAGTGCACACACTCGATAAAACTATAATTACAATGTATTTTTTTACTGTATTTTAACTCAATATATGTTTTACTTGTGATGGAAGAAGATCTGAGTGTGTAGAAAAGGCGCCTAAGAAAAAAAAAATATTATTATTTTTATCATTATTATTATTATTAGCCAGAATGTACTCAATTAAAAGTAGATTCGAGTATTTCAACGCAAATATAAAACGTATTTCTGCACAGTTCTCAAAGGCTTCAGCCGCGGACACAGAGAGAGAACCGACGGGAGCAGCGCGAGGTTCGTCTGTGACTGTTTTAAATGAAAAACACGAATAAAAGAGAAAAGCTGTTTTTATTTCCGATCTTTTATGTTAAATTCAAAGTGAGAAAAATCCACGTTTGGTTTATTTTAGGTCCAACAAACCTATTTCCACGCAGTCGCTTCATAATCAAATCATACGTTATTCTTCACGCACGTAACGACGTCATTTACGTCATGCTACTTTTTAAATGTGTTTAAAATTACAGATACAAAATTAAATGGACTCAATATAATAATAACGATGTAATAATTTAAATACATAATCTGCTCCTATTTACAGATAAGATAACATTTAGATTACGTTTTTTTTATCAATACTTATGGCCTATTGTCTGTGTGTTTTTATCATTGCATTTGATTTTCTAATCTGTGTTGGTGAATCGACAGCTTTGTAAAGTCTGAGAAAATTACTGTTGGGATTTCGGGCGATTCCAAAATACATTAAGGGCCCCATATCCACACATTCTACATTCAGATTTATCAGTTTGAGCTTCAGTTCCAGCTTTGGGGACCTGGGGTTGTTTTTCGATCCATCCATTCCACGCTGACATCGGGCACTCCTGGCAACAACACATCCCCCCGCCCCTTCTGCCTGAACGCTCCCAACCCCTCACCCGGGTGCATGTGATGATCCTGACACTATCACGACAGGTTCAGAGCCATGTTCTGTCTGTGAAACTAAAGAATCACCTCAAGGCGTGGAAATATCAGCCACAAAACCATCTTTTTCAGACTCTGGGTCGACAACAACAACAAACGCACAACAAACACACAACAGACACACAACAAACACACACAAAAGGCTCCATTGTTTCCATAAAGAGGTGGTGTTTCAGGTCGACTTTAACCTTTTCTACCTCCACCGCTCTGGGCCATCTCTGTCACTCTGTTTTAGGCCTTTTTAACACTTCGACCATTTGGTAAAAACCTATCATTTCTAAAGGTTTATAAGTGTGATACCAGGTTAGGTCCGACATCTTAGAAAATCAAAGAATTTACAAAACATTTACATTGGTTTCTTCCAGGGCCGAACATCAAACGGTTCGAACAGAAGAATCCAAAATGTTTCTACTTGAGATTGTTTTGGGTTTTAGAGTTTTTCCAGTTTGTCTGTTTGACTGATACAAAAAGGACTGTGATGTTCTGGGACACTACATTCTACTACATTCATGGACATTGGTCTCTCTTTATGGTCCAATACCATGTGGTCTCTCTCTATGGTCCAATACCATGTGGTCTCTCCCTATGAACCAATTACACCATGTGATCTCTCTCTATGGTCCAATACCATGTAGTCTCTCTCTATGGTCCAATACCATGTGGTCTCTCCCTATGGTCCAATACCATGTGGTCTCTCCCTATGAACCAATTACACCATGTGATCTCTCTCTATGGTCCAATACCATGTAGTCTCTCTCTATGGTCCTATACCATGTGGTCTCTCTCGTCCAATATCATGTGGTCTCTCTCTATGGTCCAATACCATGTGGTCTCTCCCTATGGTCCAATACCATGTGGTCTCTCCCTATGGTCCAATACCATGTGGCCTCTCCCTATATGGTCCAATACCATCTGGTCTCTCCCTATGGTCCAATACCATGTGGTCTCTCCCTATGGTCCAATACCATGTGGTCTCTCCCTATATGGTCCAATACCATGTGGTCTCTCCCTATGGTCCAATACCATGTGGTGTCTCTTTATGGTCCAATACCATGTGGTCTCTCCCTATGGACCAATTACACCATGTGATCTCTCTGTATGGTCCAATACCATGTAGTCTCTCTCTATGGTCCTATACCATGTGGTCTCTCTCTATGGTCCAATATCATGTGGTCTCTCTCTATGGTCCAATACCATGTGGTCTCTCTCTATGGTCAAATACCATGTGATCTCTCCCTATGGTCCAATACCATGTGCCCTCTCCCTATATGGTCCAATACCATGTGGCCTCTCCCTATGGCCCAATACCATGTGGTCTCTCCCTATGGCCCAATACCATGTGGCCTCTCCCTATATGGTCCAATACCATGTGGCCTCTCCCTATATGGTCCAATACCATGTGGCCTCTCCCTATTGCCCAATACCATGTGGCCTCTCCCTATGGCCCAATACCATGTGGCCTCTCCCTATATGGCCCAATACCATGTGGCCTCTCCCTATGGTCCAATACCATGTGGTCTCTCCCTATGGTCCAATACCATGTGGCCTCTCCCTATGGCCCAATACCATGTGGCCTCTCCCTATGGCCCAATACCATGTGGCCTCTCCCTATATGGTCCAATACCATGTGGTTTCTCTGAATAGATTTTCAAATTCAAAAACCGTAAATAATTCATTTCAATTCAATATATTTCGGTGTCGTCTGAAAACAGAGACCACAGAATCAAACAGATCAAAACCAGGAAATACATAGACAAAAGACATATGACCATGTGGGACAGAGACGTTGGACCATATGGGACAGAGACCAGTTTGAATGAAAAAGTGTCATTTTCATATAACAAGGATTCTTTAACTATTCATTAACAAATCTTACTGATGATGTTTTAATGAAGGGACTGGACTAATTTAGGATTATTATTATTGTTATTAGTAGCAGCAGTAGTAGTAGTAGCAGTAGCAGCAGTAGTAGTAGTAGTAGTAGTAGCAGCAGCAGCAGTAGTAGTAGCAGCAGCAGCAGCAGTAGTAGTAGTAGTAGTAGCAGCAGCAGCAGTAGTAGTAGCAGCAGCAGCATCAGTAGTAGCAGTAGCAGCAGTAGCAGCAGCAGTAGTAGTAGCAGCAGCAGCATCAGTAGTAGCAGTAGTAGTAGCAGCAGCAGCAGTAGTAGTAGCAGCAGCAGCATCAGTAGTAGCAGTAGCAGCAGTAGCAGCAGTTGCAGCAGTAGTAGTAGTAGTAGCAGCAGCAGCATCAGTAGTAGCAGTAGTAGTAGCAGCAGCAGCAGTAGTAGTAGTAGTAGTAGTAGTAGTAGCATTAGTAGTAGCAGCAGTTGCAGCAGTAGCAGCAGTTTCAGTAGTAGTAGTTGCAGCAGTAGCAGTAGTAGTAGCAGCAGCAGTTGCAGCAGTAGCAGCAGTTGCAGTAGTAGTAGCAGTAGTAGTGGTTGCAGTAGTAGTAGCAGTAGTAGTAGTAGTAGCAGCAGTTGCAGCAGTAGCAGCAGTTGCAGTAGTAGTAGCAGTAGTAGTAGTAGTAGCAGTAGCAGCAGTAGCAGCAGTTGCAGTAGTAGTAGCAGTAGTAGTGGTTGCAGCAGTATTCTTTACATTGCCCTGAGCCTAACCCTATTATAATCGTGGATTAGATCGACACACTTCTCTGCTTCTTTCCCATGATGCATCAGTGCGGTGCCTCTAGCTTCTTTCCCATGATGCATCAGTGTGGTGCCTCTAGCTTCTTTCCCATGATGCATCAGTGCGGTGCCTGTAGCTCCAGCGCAGTCAAACCTATAAAAACGCTACATTTCTATAAGTGACTTTTGCAACAGAGATAAAAACAAATCTGGGCTCCCCCGTGTCTGCCCGTAACCGCCGCGCACTCGCCACCGACCGGAACCTCGCCTTTAAATCCCGCCGCAGACCTTCCCAACGGTGAAGGATGCGTCTGCGGCCGGGACACAAACGCGATTACGGCGCGTACACGACCGCGGCCGCCTCTAATGCCGCCGCAGCCTCCGCCGTCTCCCAAATGTCAAGTGCCAAGTGCCGCGTTCGTCTGGACCCGCCGTAATTGGCCGCGTAAAGGTTTCGCGTAATAAGGCCGCGCGGTGTTTTATGGCGATTACGCGCAAGCTGCAATTATTTTCCAGCCCCATCGTAAAAATAAGCAGAGGGAGGGTAAATAAAGCTGAGGGATGTGAGTGGAGGTGGTTAGAGGGAGGCAGGGTCCGCTCTGGACGCACTGTGTATATATGGGCTACCATGTGGTCTCTCCCTATGGTCCAATACCATGTGGTCTCTCTCTATGGTCCAATACCATGTGGTCTCTCCCTATGGTCCAATACCATGTGGTCTCCCCCTATGGTCCAATACCATGTGGTCTCTCTCTATGGTCCAATACCATGTGGTCTCTCCCTATGGACCAATACCATGTGGTCTCTCCCTATGGTCCAATACCATGTGGTCTCTCTCTATGGACCAATACCATGTGGTCTCTCTCTATGGACCAATACCAGTCTCTCCCTATGGTCCAATACCATGTGGTCTCTCCCTAAGGACCAATACCATGTAGTCTCTCCCTATGGTCCAATACCATGTGGTCTCTCCCTATGGTCCAATACCATGTGGTCTCTCTCTATGGACCAATACCATGTGGTCTCTCCCTATGGTCCACTACCATGTGGTCTCTCTCTATGGACCAATACCAGTCTCTCCCTATGGTCCAATACCATGTGGTCTCTCCCTATGGACCAATACCATGTGGTCTCTCTCTATGGTCCAATACCATGTGGTCTCTCCCTATGGTCCAATACCATGTGGTCTCTCTCTATGGACCAATACCAGTCTCTCCCTATGGTCCAATACCATGTGGTCTCTCTCTATGGACCAATACCAGTCTCTCCCTATGGTCCAATACCATGTGGTCTCTCCCTATGGTCCAATACCATGTGGTCTCTCTCTATGGACCAATACCATGTGGTCTCTCCCTATGGTCCAATACCATGTGGTCTCTCTCTATGGACCAATACCAGTCTCTCCCTATGGTCCAATACCATGTGGTCTCTCTCTATGGTCCAATACCATGTGGTCTCTCTCTATGGTCCAATACCATGTGGTCTCTCCCTATGGTCCAATACCATGTGGTCTCTCTCTATGGTCCAATACCATGTGGTCTCTCTCTATGGACCAATACCATGTGGTCTCTCTCTATGGACCAATACCAGTCTCTCCCTATGGTCCAATACCATGTGGTCTCTCCCTAAGGACCAATACCATGTAGTCTCTCCCTATGGTCCAATACCATGTGGTCTCTCCCTATGGTCCAATACCATGTGGTCTCTCTCTATGGACCAATACCATGTGGTCTCTCTCTATGGACCAATACCAGTCTCTCCCTATGGTCCAATACCATGTGGTCTCTCCCTATGGACCAATACCATGTGGTCTCTCTCTATGGTCCAATACCATGTGGTCTCTCCCTATGGTCCAATACCATGTGGTCTCTCCCTATGGTCCAATACCATGTGGTCTCTCTCTATGGACCAATACCATGTGGTCTCTCCCTATGGTCCAATACCATGTGGTCTCTCCCTATGGACAAATACCATGTGGTTTGAGTGGAGGTAGTTTATTTTTTTGTTTCTAGTGTTAGTTTTAAATTGGCTAACGGGTAATATACAGCCTCAGTCCTGGGTCTACAGCCTCAGTCCTGGGTCTACAGCCTCAGTCCTGGGTCTACAGCCTCAGTCCTGGGTCTACAGCCTCAGTCCTGGGTCTACAGTCTCAGTCCTCGGTCTACAGCCTCAGTCCTGGGTCTACAGCCTCAGTCCTGGATCTACAGCCTCAGTCCTGGGTCTACAGCCTCAGTCCTGGGTCTACAGCCTCAGTCCTGGGTCTACAGCCTCAGTCCTGGATCTACAGCCTCAGTCCTGGGTCTGTTGATTCGCCAATCGCAGATCAGAGAATCAGAGGAACATCACAGAAATGGTTCCGTAAGAGGCAGAACCCGTGTTAGAGGCAGAACCCGTGTTAGAGGCAGAACCCGTGTCAGAGGCAGAACCCGTGTTAGAGGCAGAACCCGTGTTAGAGGCAGAACCCGTGTTAGAGGCAGAACCCGTGTTAGAGGCAGAACCCGTGTTAGAGGCAGAACCCGTGTTAGAGGCAGAACCCGTGTTAGAGGCAGAACCCGTGTCAGAGGCAGAACCCGTGTTAGAGGCAGAACCCGTGTTAGAGGCAGAACCCGTGTTAGAGGCAGAACCCGTGTTAGAGGCAGAACCCGTGTTAGAGGCAGAACCCGTGTTAGAGGCAGAACCCGTGTCCATAAACGTGACATGGTTCTGCCTGAGTTGGTCCCGCTCCCTCTGACTCCTATAATACATTTCTATTTCTACTTCTTTTTCAGTATGCAATGTACTGTGTGTAGTGGATATTTTAACTATGGACCATATTGTATTGTTTCCTTAGTAACGATTAATAATAATAATAACTTTGAATTTAACAACATTTTTGATTTGAGTCGTAATAATTTATCTACTGCTCGGACTGAAGCTTCTTCTTCTTCTTCTTCTTCTCCTTCTTCTCCTTCACCTTCTTCTCCTTCTTCTTCTTCTCCTCCTTCTCCTTCTTCTTCTTCTCCTTCTTCTTCTTCTCCTTCTTCTTATTCTTCTTCTCCTTCTCCTTCTTCTTCTTCTCCTTCTTCTTATTCTTCTTCTCCTTCTCCTTCTTCTCCTTCTTCTCCTTCTCCTTCTTCTTCTTCTCCTTCTTCTTCTCCTTCTTCTTCTTCTTCTCCTTCTGAGATAAAGCGGCGTCCAGACGGTCCTGTGAGCGATAACCGTTTATTTGAAGCCTGGTTATTTATTTATGACTTTGTAATGAAAATGAAAATGAAAATGAAAATGAAAGTTCAAAGCTTTAAACATGAGACGGATGCGACGCTGAGACGATGTTTGTCGTGAATTCTCAAGAACAATGCGACAAAAATGTTTTATTTTCATTATTAAAACTATAACGACAGAGAAGTCTGTTTGTTTCAGAACATTCTGCCTTTGTACGATTATTTCAATGTCATTTAAAATATCTTGACTCTGGTTTGGTCCTGCTGGTCCTGCACTGGTACTGCACTGGTCTTGGACTGGTTCTAGACTGGTCCTGGACTGGTCCTGGACTGGTACTGCCCTGGTTCTAGACTGGTCCGGGACTGGTCCTGCACCGGTTCTATACTGGTACTGCACTGGTTCTAGACTGGTCCTGGACTGGTACTGCACTGGTTCTAGACTGGTCCTGGACTGGTCCTGCAATGGTCCTAGACTGGTCCTGGACTGGTACTGCAATGGTCCTAGACTGGTCCTGGACTGGTACTGCACTGGTTCTAGACTGGTCCTGGACTGGTCCCGCAATGGTCCTAGACTGGTCCTGGGCTGGTCCTGCAATGGTCCTAGACTGGTCCTGGACTGGTACTGCAATGGTCCTAGACTGGTCCCGTACTGGTCCTGGCCTGGTCCTGGACTGGTACTGCACTGGTTCTAGACAGGTCCTGGACTGGTACTGCAATGGTCCTAGACTGGTCCCGTACTGGTCCTGGCCTGGTCCTGGACTGGTACTGCACTGGTTCTGGACAGGTCCTGGACTGGTACTAGACTGGTCCTGGACTGGTCCTGCAATGGTCCTAGACTGGTACTGCACTGGTTCTAGACTGGTCCTGGACTGGTACTGCACTGGTTCTAGACTGGTCCTGGACTGGTCCCGTACTGGTCCTGGCCTGTTACAGAGCGTCTCGGTTTAGAGTAAGTGTTGGTCACCAGAGCATGTTTACGTACAGCAGTTAGTCTTTAGTTTTGTTGTATTTGAGTATTTCCAGTTTCATATGAAAGATACAGATTCATTTTCTTTTGCCATTTGCAGTAAAACCACTTTGGATTCCACCGGCAAGAGTCTGTAGTGTGCACAAGACAATTATCGGAATAAACAAACAAAAAGGTGCAGGAAACCATCGTGCCTTCAGGTCTTTCATGTTTCTGTTGTCAGTGGCAACAGTTAGATGTAAATCCAACAGTGCGGGGTCTGATTGATGATGTCACAGGAGAACAGGGCCGTGTTTAAAGGGCCGGTACCTCAGTCTGTGACGTCTGTTTAATGAGAAGCAGAAAAGTCCGTGTTGCTGGGACGTAAATGTTATTTCTTGTTCTAATCTTCTGCAGCGAGATATAAAACTGATCTAATGGAGAAATGTCTCGTTTATGGATTTCATTTGGAGACTTCCTCTGGATCTTGCGCCTCCATAAGGTCTCATTAGTGTTTCTATAGCAACAGGTGGAATTTAGTAAGTAAGTAAGTAATCTTTATTTATATACCGCCTTTCACAGACCAGAGACACAAAGCGGTTTACAATTGTTATTTTTTTTTATATTATTATATATTATTTAACAGTTTATTTACAGCAAGGTCTGGAGGATCATAATAAAGATGAAAGATCCATTTATACAGCGCTTCATCGGACGCCACAGCTGCCCTGGGGCACACTGACAGAAGCGAGACAACCAGTCTGTGCCATCGGCCCCTCCCACCACCAACCACTCACACACACACCAGACTCATTCTAATGTGGGGGAAGTGTCTTGCCTAAGGACACAACCACAGTTTGGCACTTTACAGCCACAGCCGCCCCACTGTGTCTCCCATCTCAGCACTAACCAGGCCCTGTCCTGCTTAGCCTCAGAGGTCTGACACACACACACACACAGTTTAATGTGGACTCCCCAATTAAGACTTAAAGGTCATGTGATGTAGATAAATGCAATGCTTTTCTTTTACATAGAAATAGAAATATATTTTTTTGTATATGTTGAGAAAAATCTGTGGCATTCGTCAGTCACAATGTGGGTCATACTTACCTCCCAAACGCAAAAGAATGAAACGAATCATTTGTGTGAGTTGCTCTAAATGATACTGGTCTCTCTCTGGTCTCTCTCTGGTCTCTCTCTGGTCTCTCTCTGGTCTCTCTCTGGTCTCTCTCTGGTCTCTCTCTGGTCTCTTTCTGGTCTCTCTCTGGTCTCTCTCTGGTCTCTCTCTGGTCTCTCTCTGGTCTCTCTCTGGTCTCTCTCTGGTCTCTCTCTCTGGTCTCTTTCTGGTCTCTCTCTGGTCCCTCTCTGGCCTCCCTGTAGTCTATCTCTGGTCTCTCTCTGGTCCCTCTCTGGTCTCTCTCTGGTCTCTCTCTGGTCTCTCTCTGGTCTCTCTCTGGTCTCTTTCTGGTCTCTTTCTGGTCTCTTTCTGGTCTCCCTCTGGCCTCTCTCTGGCCTCCCTCTGGTCTCTCTCTGGTCTTTCTCTGGTGTCTCTCTGGTCTCTCTCTGATCTCTCTCTGGTCTCTCTCTGGTCTCTCTCTGGTCTCTCTCTGGTCTCTCTCTGGTCTCCCTCTGGTCTCTCTCTCTGGTCTCTCTCTGGTCTCTCTCTGGTATCTCTCTGGTCTCCCTCTGGTCTCTCTCTGGTCTCTCTCTGGTCTCTCTCTGGTCTCTCTCTGGTCTCCCTCTGGTCTCTCTCTGGTCTCTCTCTGGTCTCCCTCTGGTCTCTCTCTGGTCTCTCTCTGGTCTCTCTCTGGTCTCTCTCTGGTATCTCTCTGGTCTCCCTCTGGTCTCTCTCTGGTCTCTCTCTCTGGTCTCTCTCTGGTCTCTCTCTGGTATCTCTCTGGTCTCCCTCTGGTCTCCCTCTGGTATCTCTCTGGTCTCCCTCTGGCCTCTCTCTGGTCTCTCTCTGGTCTCTCTCTGGTCTCTCTCTGGTATCTCTCTGGTATCTCTCTGGTATCTCTCTGGTCTCCCTCTGGTCTTCCTCTGGTATCTCTCTGGTCTCCCTCTGGCCTCTCTCTGGTCTCTCTCTAGGCTTTCTCTGGTCTCTCTCTGGTCTCTCTCTGGTCTCCCTCTGGTCTCCCTCTGGCCTCTCTCTGGTCTCTCTCTAGGCTTTCTCTGGTCTCTCTCTGGTCTCTCTCTGGTCTCCCTCTGGTCTCCCTCTGGTCTCCCTCTGGTCTCTCTCTGGTCTCCCCCAGTTTAGCTCAGAGCTGGTCTTTTTGTGCTGAATTAAAACATTGTGTGTTTTTTTGGTCTATTGTATTAATATATTTTTATCTTTGACCGAAAGTCAATGAAAAACATCAAACTTATCTTTTAACAGAACAACACAAAAACACACAACCACGGCTCGTTGTGGTCTGACTTTCTTTTGGGACAAAGACCATTTATGAGAAAAAGATAGAAACCATTATCCATCATTTCTAAACCATGAGCAGAGTACAATCTGGTCATTCATGGTTTGTCTGATGTGCATCCAACACATTAGTCTTTTATGTCTTAAATCAGTTTTATTTGATGTTTTCTGTTCAAATACGACTTTAACACGACCTCCACCCCAGCTGATTATTTTTCTTAAAGGAGCAGTCTGTAAACGTGTGGCCAAAAGTGGTACTGCAGCCTCTCCCACTCTCCCTGACTCAGGTTGCCAGATATGCAGACGAATCCAGCTGGGACCATAACAGCTGAATAGACAAGAGTTTTGTCAACAACAAATCTATAACCAACACCTTTTTCACAAAGATAGAAATCCTGGTTTTATTCCTTGTTTTGTCGTTAATGATTTGAGAATCATAACAAAACCTTTTTTAGTTCTGCGCCACATGGTACTTTACCAGTGAGATTAGCTCCACGCGGTGAGTTCTGGCGCCCGGATCGCAGACTTTCTGATTAGTGAAACGGTGGAGGGCGGGACATCGGAATGAAAACAATAACAAGATTTAGAGACTGGAAAAGTAATTTAGAAATTCAAATATCTCTGAACTACTGTTATCAGTTAAAGAAGTATTGGAAAAGAGCTGTTTATTATTATGACAGATTAGGGCCCTTTAATGATGACAGATTAGGGCCCTTTAATGATGACAGATTATGGCCCTTTAATGATGACAGATTATGGCTCTTTAATGATGACAGATTAGGGCCCTTTAATGATGACAGATTAAGGCCCTTTAATGATGACAGATTAAGGCCCTTTAATGATGACAGATTAAGGCCCTTTAATGATGACAGATTAGGGCCCTTTAATGATGACAGATTAGGGCCCTTTAATGAGGACAGATTAGGGCCCTTTAATGATGACAGATTAAGGCCCTTTAATGATGACAGATTAAAGCCCTTTAATGATGACAGATTAGGGCCCTTTAATGATGACAGATTAGGGCCCTTTAATGATGACTTGACATGAACATTTGACATTTTACTTCTTTAAATGTTCTGGGACCAACAAACATCCACTTTTTCTGCTTTTCCCTCATTCCTCACAGTCACATTTCCACATAACGCTTCTCTGTCTCTGCTCGCGCGCATCGCCAGGAGCTCACACTGGCCACGGCGTGACCCTCTGCGTGCGCGTGCGTGTGTGTGTGTGTGTGTGCGTGGGACTCCATCATGACGAAGCGCACGCTACAGGACACGTTGGGACGGATGACACTTTTTTTTTGCGTGATATAAATGCGCGGAAAAGCAGGGATCCTGGATGTGATTAGGGGCCGCGCGCTCCCGGGCAGGGCCATCGCTCTCCGGGGGGTAATCTAATCGCGCTCGTAACCGGGATGTATGTGCGTATGCGCGCGGGAAAGTACGCGTCACGTCGATATAAGTCTGAAGGAAAGAGAGGAGAGAACAAAAGAATGGGAGTGATTCGGAAGCTTTGTCTTATTCGGATTGAAGTTTAGGGCGATTGATTCGGTTCATGCGCCTCCGCGGAAGAGGAAAAGAAAATAGTGCGACTGAAAGAATGACGTGATTTGACACAAAGAGGAAAGGCAGGTTTATTTGTATGGCACAGTTCATACAGAAGGCAACTCAAAGGGCTGAAGAAATAAGAAAAGAAACGATAAAAACCATTAAATCATAATAATCACAATCCTTCAGTTGTTGCAGCGAAACAGTTTTAACCTGGATTTGAACATTGTCAGAGGAGAAGCCTGTCTCACATTTTCAGGAAGACGGTTACAGAATGTAGCTGCATGTTTAGTCCTGACTCCGGGACCAGCAGGAGGCCAGTCCCTGTGCTCCTCAGCGTCCCAGCAGGAGGCCAGTCCCTGTGCTCCTCAGAGTCCCAGCAGGAGGCCAGTCCCTGTGCTCCTCAGCGTCCCAGCAGGAGGCCAGTCCCTGTGCTCCTCAGCGTCCCAGCAGGAGGCCAGTCCCTGTGCTCCTCAGAGTCCCAGCAGGAGGCCAGTCCCTGTGCTCCTCAGCGTCCCAGCAGGAGGCCAGTCCCTGTGCTCCTCAGAGTCCCAGCAGGAGGCCAGTCCCTGTGCTCCTCAGAGTCCCAGCAGGAGGCCAGTCCCTGTGCTCCTCAGAGTCCCAGCAGGAGGCCAGTCCCTGTGCTCCTCAGAGTCCCAGCAGGAGGCCAGTCCCTGTGCTCCTCAGAGTCCCAGCAGGAGGCCAGTCCCTGTGCTCCTCAGAGTTGGTTCATAAGGCACTAACATGTCCCTGTAGTAAATATATTTCAAAGTCAAATTTTTGTTCTATTTTGCAACCATACAAATCTGAAATATATATTATTGTATCGCTGTTATATTAATAATAATAACCGGGAGTCAAACCCAGAACCTTCTTGCTGAGAATCAAGAAGATCTCAGCAAGAAGGTCCTGGGTTCAAATCCCAGTCAGAACAGGGCCTTTCTGAGTGGAGTTTGCATGTTCTCCCAGTGTCTGTATAGGTTTCCTCTGGGTGCTCCGGTTTCCCCTGCTAACCACTCAGCCACCGTGCCGCCTAAGACATGCAGACACATATGCTATACTAAAATAAAACCACTAGCTTTACTATAACTACCCATTGAAACTAGCCGTTGGGCAGCGGTTGCCGTAGTAACAGGTCAATCTCCAGATGTTGACGCTCTTCAGGACCAGAGCTGGAGGATGTGACCTACAGTACATGTCCTTTTTTAGTGGTAGCGGAAACCGGAGCACCTGGAGGAAACCTGCACAGACACGGGGAGAACATGCAAACTCCCTGAATCAGACCCAGAGCCTTCTCGCTGAGACCCAGTGCGTGCTAACCACTTCCACTGAAAATTTAACTTCCATTTTGATATTTCCAACACGGTGTTTTACGTTCAGTTTAAACAGCAGAATAAGTGAGGCGCTCCTGGGCTGCCTCGCCTTCACAGCTCCCCTCAGAGTTTGTGATTTAAAGCCGCGCGTCACTTTTATGGAGCAATAATCCGGGAGGAAGACAAAGAGCGCGACGCAAATCCACCCGCTTTAATGTGTCATTAATAGGACTGAGAATACATTATTGATACATTCATCTGCATCACAGAGTAACACAGAGTAACACAGTGTAACACAGAGCAACACAGAGAAACACAGAGTAACACAGAGCAACACAGAGCAACACAGAGTAACACAGAGAAACACAGAGTAACTCAGAGCAACGCAGAGAAACGCAGAGTAACACAGAGCTACACAGAGCAACACAGAGCAACACAGAGTTACACAGAGCAACACAGCGCAACACAGAGTAACACAGAGCTACACAGATCAACACAGAGTAACACAGAGCAACACAGAGAAACACAGAGCAACACAGAGCAACACAGAGCAACTCAGAGCAACGCAGAGAAACGCAGAGAAACGCAGAGTAACGCAGAGCTACACAGAGAAACACAGAGCAACACAGAGCAACACAGAGAAACACAGAGTAACACAGAGTAACACAGAGTAACGCAGAGCAACGCAGAGTAACACAGAGTAACAAAGAGTAACACAGAGCAACACAGAGCTACACAGAGTAACACAGAGCAACACAGAGCTACACAGAGTAACACAGAGCAACACAGAGAAACACAGAGTAACACAGAGTAACAAAGAGTAACACAGAGCAACACAGAGCAACACAGAGAAACACAGAGAGACAGAGAGCAACACAGAGCAACACAGAGAAAAAACAGAGAAACACAGAGAGACAGAGAGCAGCATCACATAGCAGGAGTAGAGTGGTGTAATGTAGAGAAGAGTAGAGTGATGTAGAGTTAATGTAGAGCATTATTTCACATTCATTTACTTTTTAACTAGAGAAACCAGACTTGAGACTTCAAACACAGGTGAAAGACACTTCCCCCACATTAGAATGAGTCTGGTGTGTGTGTGAGTGGTTGGTGGTGGTGGGAGGGGCCGATGGCACAGACTGGTTGCCTCGCGTCTGTCAGTGTGCCCCAGGGCAGCTGTGGCTACAGTAGTAGTTTGTCACCACCGAGTGAAAGAATAATAATGTGAAGAGACTTTGAGAGTTCTGAATGAAACCAATTATTATCATTAAATATAATCAAGCAAAAAGAAAGTGAAAGAAAGAAACATTTGCCCTTCATCGCTCGTAAACCTGGAATTGGTTCTAAATCTACAGAGTGAATAAACCCAGTGGTGTCAGAGGAGCAGGAGTTGGAGTGAAAACCTGACACTGAGACTTTAAAAGAGCGTTAATGAACAGCCGGGTCCAGAGCTGATCAGGCATGTGTGTGTGTGTGTGTGTGTGTGTGGGTGTGAGTGTGTGTGTGTGTGTGTGTGTGTGGGAGTGTGTGTGTGTGTGTGTGTGTGTGTGTGTGGGTGTGAGTTTGTGTGTGTGCGTGTGTGTGTGTGTGTCTGTGAGTGTGTGCGTGGGTGGGTGTGTGTGTGTCTGTGTGTGTTTGTGTCTGTGAGTGTGTGTGTGTGTGTGGGTGTGAGTGTGTGTGTGTGTGTGTGTGTGTCTGTGAGTGTGTGCGTGGGTGGGTGTGTGTGTGTGTGTCTGTGTGTGTGTGTGTGTCTGTGAGAGTGTGTGTGTGTGTGTCTATGAGTGTGTGTGTGTGTGTGTGTGAGTGTGTGAGTGTGTGTGTGTGTGTGTGTTAGTGTGTGTGTGTGTGTGTGTGGGTAAGTGTGCTAGTGTGTGTGTGTGTGTGTGTGTGTGCTAGTGTGTGTGGGTGTGTGTGTGGGTAAGTGTGCTAGTGTGTGTCTGTGTGTGTCTGTGAGTGTGTGTGTGTGTGTGTGGATAAGTGTGCTAGTGTGTGTGTGTGTGTGTGAGTTACATGGTCCTGGGTTTACGCACTGAGAGCACTTCTCCACAGCACCTGAATCAGTAACTATCAGACCATGTGGCGCTTTATTAAATATTGATGGTTTTTTCTGGTCTCTCGGTGAATAATTATCCAGCGCGGAGCCAGGTCGGTTCATTATCAACCCGTGTGTAACTTTGTGCGGAAAAGTGTTTACGGCGCGTTTATGGCCTGGGGCGGGCGGTGTGTGTGTGTGTGTGTGTGTGTCCTTAATGGCAGCCCTGGAAGTGGAGGCCTCATGCACTGAGGATCACATGGTCCCCACACCGCACACAGGACTGTATGGATGTGTGTATAGGGCGATCGTTGGGGGCGGTGAGTGCGAAGGTTATTGAGGCGCTTTGTTCACAAGGAGCCTGTAGCACCGAAGGACATAGCACCTCATTCAAAGAGACTAAGCCTTTGATAATATGTTTGTCAGAAAGTCCATGATCCGGGCGCCAGAACTCACCGTGTGGAGCTAATCTCACTGGTAAAGTACCATGTGGCGCAGAACTAAAAAAGGTCTCGTTATGATTCTCAAATAATTAACAACAAAACAAGGAATAAAACCAGGATTTCTATCTTTGTAAAAAAGGTGTTGGTTATAGATTTGTTGTTGACAAAACTCTTGTCTATTCAGCTGTTATGGTGCCAGCTGGATTCGTCTGCATATCTGGCAACCTGAGTCAGGGAGAGTGGGAGAGGCTGCAGTACCACTTTTGGCCACATTTTTACACACTGCTCCATTAAGATAAGCTTTATTCTTCCCCCAAAGAAGATGGCTGGTGTTGCATCCTGCATGGATTACAGTCGGAATAAACAAAAACAAGAAAGACCGGATACGTAGCTTTAAATACTTATTTTGCTTCAGCTGTAAAATCTTCGACACAATTCCTTTCAGTTTGTTTTTGTAAACTCCTAAATCCCAACCGCAGTCATCTTGAGGGACTAAAGGCTCATTTCTGTATTTACAAAGATAGGAGATGATAAAGTAGCTCTCTAGACTTGTCCAAACAAAGGCCGACGAAGTAGCCTTTGAAGTGTCATCAGTGTCATCCAACCAACTTCAGCTCCACCAACAAATTCATGCTCTACCGTGATGAAAGCTCAGAATCTTTGGGCTCTTTATTTGCATTCTCTGTTTTTGTTTTTGATTGGGTCACAAAATTTCATTCAGAACAACCCGAATAAGCTACACGGACAAAATGATAAAATATGAGGATAATATTGCTGTAACTGACTGTAGTTTTTCTTTGTACGAGTACTTTCTGTGTGTCTTAAAACAAGATTCACCAATGGGACGAAGCCATTTGGTCTTATTTCAAGAGCAGTTGCTTTATTTTTCATTTCAAGGGAGACATTTATTGAACATTTTTAACACAACATATTTAACATACAACATAACAACATATAAAAAACAACTGAAATTTCCCCACTGTGGGACGAATAAAGGATCTCTTAATCTTAATCTTTCATCTTAATTTTGTCTTTGTCCCATTGGAAAATCTTGTTTTGAGGCTCAGGCAGAATCTGCACAAATTAAGATACATTTTGCCAACTTTGAGATTTTTAAAAATCAGTTTATACAGTGTAGAACAGCCCAAACACAGTCAAAACAGTTTTACAATTTAGCTTGTCGGCTCCTAGAAGAGCTTTAACTTTAGTGGCCCTTCTGCTAAAAGTTTGGACACCCCTGGTCTAAACTATGTCGTGAACAGAACTATTGTAGATGAGGATCACAGCAAGAACCTCAGGAAGAACCTCATACCGTCCATCGACTGCTTCCATATGTGCTGAGCTGCGGCAGGATCGCAAACTGCTGACACGCCTTTAACTCCTCTTGCCTAACAACGTGTTTCTGATCTTCTCTCCATTACCTCCCTCCCCCCTCTGTCTCCCCCCTCTCCCCCCTTCCCCTCCACCACCACCACCCAGTAGCTGCGGGCCGGAGACGAGGCCGCCAGACGTACAGCCGCTACCAGACGCTGGAGCTGGAGAAGGAGTTCCTCTTTAACCCGTACCTGACTCGCAAGCGGCGCATCGAGGTGTCGCACGCCCTGGCCCTCACCGAGCGCCAGGTCAAGATCTGGTTCCAGAATCGCCGCATGAAGTGGAAGAAGGAGAACAACAAGGACAAGTTCCCCAGCAGCAAGAGCGAGCAGGAGGCCGTGGAGAGGGAGCGACGGGAGAAGGAGATGAGGGATGGGAGCAGCAGCAGTAGCGGGGCCGGCGGAGGGGCTGCTGTACCGGCAGGAGGTGCAGGCAACGCTGGGGGTCAGGGGGCGGCCGGGGTACAGGCGTCAGGGAGCGAGGATTGCTGTGAGAAGAGCCACAAGCCCATATAATGTGAAGGGGGTGGAGGGGGGAGGCGGGTAGAGGTCTCTTTTCTGCTGAGACGTATGCAAGCCCGATCCGCGGAACTCTGCTTGGCTAGTTTCAATCGTCTTGGGGTTCACCACGATCGGCCTGGTTGTGTCTACATCTGGTTCTGCGATGGCACTAAACATGTATACACTGGTCCAGCAGTCACAGCAGTCACATCAGTCACTCTGAATCTTAGCAAACATATCTGTGACGTCATGAGGACTGCTGTATTTGCTTCTGAAGTGAACCGAGATTAGACCCGTGAGTGTGAAAGCGCCAGGTTCATGATTCTGACCTTCTACATCTCTTCTGTGGACACTTCAAAATTCACAAAAGTAAAATGCTGCCATAGGATATCAAGCTGTTTGACTGAAATGTACATTAATCAACAACAGCTTACGATGTGCAAGTAAAAACAAAAACAGAATCAAGATGGCGGCAGATACAGTTTTCTGATCAAGATGATTGGAGTCTCAGACCATTGGCAGAGGTGTTTTGACATTCTCTGCTATGACAAAAACCTCGGAGACGCTGTCACATGAAGTAGATGGAGATATAAAGCAGAAGAATCTTGAAACCAGCCGAAGCAGTAACGCGACAAAGGGCTGAAGATCGGACTTTGAAAGACTTTGAAAGACTCAAACATAAACTCTCTCTGCAGGGGGGGGGTCACTCTGGTGTCTTGTCCCAGGTCAGAGATTTGAATAAAAAGTTTAAAATTCCTAAAGTGTAATTCCCGAAAACAGAAGCCGCCGATGAATCTGGATGTTTTGGTGGATCCATAAATATTAACATTGTATTTACTCATTAGTTTGACTTTTTCATGGCTGTGGACGAGAGAGAGAGATGTGGAGGCAAAGAGCCCTCTACTCTACTCTACTCTACTCTACTCTACTCTACTCTACTCTACTCTGCTTTACTCTACTCTACTCTGCTTTACTCTACTCTACTCTACTCTACTCTACTCTACTCTACTCTACTCTGCCCTACTCTACTCTACTCTACTCTACTCTACTCTGCTTTACTCTACTCTACTCTGCTTTACTCTACTCTACTCTACTCTACTCTACTCTGCCCTACTCTACTCTACTCTACTCTACTCTACTCTACTCTGCTTTACTCTACTCTACTCTGCTTTACTCTACTCTACTCTACTCTACTCTACTCTACTCTGCCCTACTCTACTCTACTCTACTCTACTCTACTCTACTCTACTCTACTCTACTCTACTCTGCTTTACTCTACTCTACTCTACTCTACTCTGCTTTACTCTACTCTGCTTTACTATACTCTACTCTACTCTACTCTGCTTTACTCTACTCTACTCTACTCTGCTTTACTCTACTCTGCTTTACTATACTCTACTCTACTCTACTCTAATCTACTCTACTCTACTCTACTCTGCTTTACTCTACTCTACTCTACTCTACTCTGATTTACTCTACTCTACTCTACTCTGCTTTACTCTACTCTACTCTACTCTGCCCTACTCTACTCTACTCTGCTTTACTGTACTCTGCTCTACTCTACTCTACTCTGCTTTACTCTACTCTACACTACTCTACTCTGCCCTACTCTACTCTACTCTGCTTTACTCTACTCTACTCTGCTTTACTCTACTCTACTCTACTCTACTCTTCTCTACTCTGCTTTACTCTACTCTACTCTACTCTGCTTTACTCTACTCTACTCTACTCTACTCTACTCTGCTCTGCTTTACTCTACTCTACTCTGCCCTACTCTACTCTACTCTACTTTACTCTAATCTACTCTACTCAGCCCAACTCTACTCTACTCGGCCCTACTTTTCTGTACTCTACTCTCCTCGACCCTACTCTACTCTACTCTCCTCGACCCTACTCTACTCTACTCTACTCTACTTTACTCTGCTCTACTCTACTCTACTCTACTCTACTCTCCTCGACCCTACTCTACTCTACTCTACTTTACTCTGCTCTACTCTTCTCTATTCTACTCTACTCTACTCTAAATTACTCTACCTGGTTGTGTTTCCATTACGCTTTGGAAGCCATAGCAACCTACCCACAACTAACTTTTATCCGGGGAAATTCCTTGGTAACCATGGCTTCCAACAGCACTCTGGCCAATATTTGACAAAAAGAACCCTTTAGTTCCAGCTCTAGACCAAGCAGATACTAAAACCCGGTACTGGTTAAACAGGGCCAGTGGAAACGCTCCCAATGTGGGTAGAGTAGAACCGAGTAGAACCGAGTAGGGTCAAGTAGAGCCAAGTAGAGCTGAGTAGAGTAGGGCTGGTGGAAACGGGGGCTTATATCCAAGTTTTGAATTCTTATGTCAATATTATTAAGTTATTTGTTTGTAGATACCTCTGGATTGGTCGAGATGGAAGAAGAAAATGTACCACAAGATATCACGAGATAAAAATGCAAACTTTAGCATTCTTTAAAGTCATTCCCTTCTGCTGCGTTTGGCCAAAACACTCTGTTCTGAACCTGCTCAAGTGCAGAACATTCCTGCTGGCCGTACTTTCCAGTTGGCTCTTGGTCTAACACTAGAACTCCCAGAGCAGTCATTTCCACGGCTCGCACTCAAACCAATGGAATTCTGAACATTTCTAGTTTTAGTCAAGTTAAGTCATTTATAAGGTGAATATAACTTAACATATAGGTACAAAAATTCTAGTAAAATGCCGACTGTTAGCATGTAGACAGTTTGTTGCTATGGTAACTGAAACTTGCCCCTCATCACCGGGGGTTCATGGTGGAACTGTAGATAATTTCATGAAAATAAACTACATAGAAAAAAAGTCACACATGTTATGATGAGGACCAACAATGTACATCCGCTGAGAAACAACATTCCCAAAACTAAAAGCCGTCAAATTGACTGCTCTGGGAGTTCTAGTGTTAAAACAGGCATGGGTATAGAAGATTTGTTTTATTTGAATACAAAAAAGGTACAGAATCTGTCCAAAATATAATATTATTACACAAGGTTTGGCTCATAATCGAGTTGGAAGAAGAAAACTAGAAAAACAAAACAAAAAGGGGAAATTAAAGCATTTTTTTTGGTCAAAATCAATTGTATTTTGTCTGATCTTGTGGTCATTTTGTCTCGTCCCGTTCTCACCGATCGATTGACGTAATTTTTTGTTCTTGTGTTAGCTCTACTGTTCTCTGGGCAATGACAGGACCGCACTTGAAAGACAATAAAAACTATCTTTATGTTCAAGAGAAAGAGGAGATGCACTTGGAACAACCTCAGACTCACTGTTCGTCTGTTTAAAGTCTGTACCAGGATTCTCGGATGTGTTCCTCAGATTAAAAAGTCCTCAACGGAACAGAGCACTTACAAACCTCCAACGTTGGACCAAGCGTTTTTATCGAAGCGGAAAAGAGGCCTCTGCTGCTCCTGGGGGTGGGAGGCGGGAGGGTTTTGGGGGGGACTGGGTTCACTATAAAGGCCACTGGACTGCCCTGCTGTCTCCAATCGTCAACGCTAAAGGACTTTGGAGCCGGATCGAGACTCCAGCTCTACACGGACGAGCGAGGAACAATGAACTTTAAACGTTTGCGTAGAGAAGGTGGAAGCACTGACGGCACCGGTGACAGAAGACGCACTTTTCAATGGTTTGTTTTGGTTAAAGAGACACGGATACGGTATAAACATGTGTTAGCTCATACTTAGCTCAATAGGCTTTTGCCCCAATGTGTTAGCATCATTGCTTTCTGAGGCTGTAGACCCAGGACTGAGGCTGTAGACCCAGGACTGAGGCTGTAGACCCAGCACTAAGGCTGTAGACCCAGGACTGAGGCTGTAGATCCAGGACTGAGGCTGTAGATCCAGGACTGAGGCTGTAGATCTAGGACTGAGGCTGTAGATCCAGGACTGAGGCTGTAGATCCAGGACTGAGGCTGTAGATCCAGGACTGAGGGTAGATCTAGGACTGAGGCTGTAGATCCAGGACTGAGGCTGTAGATCCAGGACTGAGGCTGTAGATCTAGGACTGAGGCTGTAGATCCATAACCTGGCAAAAGCCAGATTGATGATTGTGTAGAACTCTAACGCGTTCTCCGCGATATCAATCTGGGATTTCTCCCGGAGAATCCTTTCGGGGAAAGGAGGGAATACTTGAAGCTGATTGGGCGAAGTGACGCTGTGTGCCCGCCTACCAAGGTTGCCGTCCAGAAATGTACAAAGCGCCTCTCGCTGTTCATCTTTCAAAAAAGAAATTGGAGATTCTGCTAAAACTGACTTTGCGTCCGTCCTCCTGCGTAGCCATGTTTGTTTTGCTTCGGCCCGGCACTTCTTGCTTTCGTCAAACCCGGATATCCCGCCCTAAACCCCCAGACTGGCGCGTGATTGGCTCGCACACCCAGTGGTTCGACTCGAAAAGTGTAAGCGGGAGCGGTACAAGATGTATTCTCGAGTGTTTGTGAACTCACAAATACCGCGAGAATTCAGCTTGCAGGCAAGGTTAGTAGATCCAGGACTGAGGCTGTAGATCTAGGACTGAGGCTGTAGATCTAGGACTGAGGCTATAGATCCAGGACTGAGGCTGTAGATCCAGGACTGAGGCTGTAGATCCAGGACTGAGGCTGTAGACCCAGGACTGAGGCTGTAGATCCAAGACTGAGGCTGTAGACCCAGGACTGAGGCTGTAGACCCAGGACTGAGGCTGTAGACCCAGGACTGAGGCTGTAGATAGGTCTATGACATCTGGTAGAATCCACTGCTCCTGGTGTTACTTTTTTAAGATTTAAGGACCATCATCAACGTTTTCCTTTTTTAAAAATCTAAAACCTTTGTGGACTCTATCTCTAACTTCGACTTCTGGTGCGTCTTCTGTCACCGGCCCTTGCCTTATATGGACTTCCTGGAGGGACCATGGGCGAAACAAATAGTCTACACTAGTGTCGGAAAAATGAAAAAAGAAAAAACGTGATCGCTTCCTTTCTTTGTGGAACATTATTGTGAAACATTTCTATATTGTTAGAAG